TAAAATTGACGTATGGAAGAAAACAGAAGAAAAAATAAATAAAGGTGAGAAAAGAGAGGGGTAGAAGGGTCACATAATATTTGTTAGCTTTTTTATAGATTTGTTTTCCTCCCCCTCCCCCTCCTTTTCTGCTCTCTCTCTGTCTCTGTCTCTCTATCTATCACTCTCTCTGTCTCTCTGTCTCTCTCTGTCTCCCTTTGTGTGTCTCTGTCTCTCTGTCTCTCTCTGTCTCTCTCACTTTCACTTTCTCCTTCTTTCTATATACCTCTCCTTTCACTCACTAACGCGCACAAACATACGCACACCCACTTTCTCTCTCTCTCTCTCTCTCTTACACACACACACACAGTATAGAAAGCAGTGGGTGGGGTGGTGATGAGTGGTAGTTCGTTAAAAAGTGACTGTGGTGGTAGGGCGAAAGCCAAATCAGGAGAAAGAAAGATTATTTTAAAGGTTTTAGGAAATCGACTTAAAGAAAATCCACTATTTCAGCTGTTATCGCATCTGTTTCTATGTCTAATCGTGCTGTTTATTTTTTTCCAATAATCTTTCCATTTAATTGGTTTTGGCGTAATAATGCACTAAACTGAACTGTTAAATAAAAAAGATTATTGCATTGTTATTGAAATCATCCAATACAAGCAATAACAATACGATTATGAGGTATTGTAAAAACATCCAAAGAGATTATTTGGTTTTCCATTTTGTATATTCTGTTGTAGTCGATCATGATTTTGCAAGAATGTCGAAAACTAAACGGGAGAGAATTCTCAATTAAAAATCATAACTTGATTGGAGTAATCAACTAAGAGATATATTATTATTAAACCAGTATTCTCTAGAGGAACAGTAGTACATTACAACATCAAGGTAAGTGCTGATATTTTGTGTTATCCATTTATTTCTGATAATCACGATGACGTATTTTCTTTTTCATGACATGCGAATTGATTTCTTAAGTTGTACATTAAGGGGGCAACTCGGTAAGTAAATCATGATGATGAACAGGGGCGTCTTCACAAAAAGTTTGTTAAAGTGACGAGGAGGGGGGGGGGGGGGTGTCAAACAATTACATTATTAAACAAAAATTAACTGTCAGAAAAGCAAACGTTTTCTGTTTGGTACAAGGGTTTAAAAAAACAGACATTGAAAATATTTAGTATGCATATTTTCAAATGGGTTTTTTATGATTAATCCCACATTCAAACATTACGTTTCATGACGTAGAAAAATGTATAAATCTGTAAGTATCTGAAGTATGTATGCAAGGCGATCAAATAACTGCACTAATTTGTTACATAATTGCATAAAATCGGCATATTTTTTGTAACTTGTCATAATCATCTATTCAAGCAATAATGCCTCAATTAAAAATCGAAATATCTGACATTATTACAGAGAAGGGTGAATGAAAATGATAGTTTTCTGGCCGCCAGAAGGACTTTAACTTTAACATTTTTTGTTAAATAGAGTTAATGATTTTCTGCTCTACACAGATGAAACTATAATTAAAATGTATACATTTTTTAAAATCCCAGATGAAGACCGCATCACTCATTGCTTTTCTTGCTGCAGTCTGCCTCCTCATGGCCACATCAACACAAGGTAAGTCTATAACTAAAATACTAATCCTATGCATATTGCACACGGGGCATCATTTATCTTACGTATGACTGCATCAGTGACATACACTGTCTTTTGACGCTCCATGAGAGAGAGTGGCATCGCACGTAGAGCGTTTGTAAAATGAACAATGCAAAAAGTGAGTTGAATTACCGGAGTATGGGCCAAAAGCTTGACGCATGCTTCATTAGCGCAGCTAATAACGCAGTCCGCGAAATGACGCCTCTAGTCCAACGTGCATAAGGATATTATGTCCTATATGGATAATTATGTCCCATGCACACAGTGTTTCCTTAACTTAAGCGAGCAAATGCAGATCCAAGGTAAAGGAAATTCAACCTTTGTAACAATTATTCCCTAAGCTGTGTGAAATTAATTAAAAAGTAAAAGAAACTGTCGCAAGTTTGAATGGTTTAAAGATAAGATCACTATTTCTGTATGAATGTCAAATTGGCAAAGTGGTCATTCGAACGCGAAGTATTTGGGCAAATTCTTTCGTTTGTTTCCCACTAAATAAAATACATATAACATAATTGTTATCCTGAAATAAAAGGGAGTGGGGTTGAGTACTTAAAGAGAGAGAACATTTTTTTTAATGAAGTCAGAAAACAACCTTCAGCATCATGCCATCTCGATCAAAGTTAAGAGCGAAGAGGACACATTCATGTTTATGTCGTTAATTCAGTTTCCAAGATGGCATTAGCACCAGCAACAAAATGGATTTTAGATGCAATGCACGTAACATGTTTGTTCTATACTAACTTTGCCCTCATAATAATTTTCCAGTTTACATCTTTTTGTTTGGGTAAAACAACTACTTAAAAATCAATGATGACATTTGTATATAGTATGGGTTGGTAAAGAGAGATCTAAGACATTATTTTATTGGCAATTACTCTGTTAGGAATAATGAATATATACATGCATATTTCTCCAAAAAAATTGTAATTATAATGATGATAAAGATAATACAGTGAAATTTCATTTTTGCGTGCATTCTAAAGATTATTGAAATGTGCCTCATAATGTAAGATTGAATCATTTAATGAATAACATAATTTTTCAGCATATCATTCTTAACTGTAAAGCTTTACATAGGAATTGATAAAAAAATATCTTACATGTACATCGTTTATCAAACCATATTTACAAGTAAATTGTTGTTAATTTTGACATAAATCAATTTAAACCTGCATGAAATTCCTTTTTCGGAAATTTTAATGCCTTTTGATGTATCAAAAATAATTATGTTTGCTTCTTTTGTGTAAACTTTGACATACATCAATTTAAATATGCCTTAAATTCATTTTCGGAAATTTTAAAGTCTTTTTTTTTATGTATCCAAAAAAAATGTTCGCTTCTTTTGTTTTTCTTTGTTATGCAAGATACCCATAAAGCATAATGACATAAACAAGACCATATTTCTAATTCTATTGTTCCTTTTTTCACTTTTTTTATAATTGTATGCATTTTACATTTAACTTGTCAAAAGGTTGTAAGTTACATTAATTTCGATAATCATTTTTTAATCTGCCAGTAACATGACAAATGAAATTTTTAAACATGATATAAATTCTTTCTTTTTATTTTGGTTTCCATTAAAGACCGATTTTTGCGTCATGATTTGTATAGAATAGTTCCCAAAATGTTATGTTTTTCTTTGATATTTCTCAGGTCGAGCTGTAGTCCGAGGTAAAGGGGGAGAGGCTCTAGATAGAGCAAAGAGGCAGACATCTACAAGCGTGGTAAGTTCTCAGAAAAATCGTAGTAATGATTTTAAAAACATATTATATGACTACAGAATTCTTCATTATTTTGTTTGCAGTTTATCAGACATTATATTGTGCCTTGAGCGTGCACCTCATATAGATCGAATTAAAAAAAATATACAGATAGGGTTTTCATGTGCAGGGACGGATCAAGGATTCTGTAAAAGAGTGCGCACTGTATCCCTAAAATTTGCTGACAAGCACAAAAAAGGGTCATCATTTTTTTAGGTGCCTTTTTACAAGAGAATTTTGTGACAAAGGGAAAAAGGTGTGTCATTCGCTTTAAATCCGTAGGTGGTTATATAGATGCAGTAAAATTAGTGTGAAAACGCAATTTGAAATGGTTTCAAGATATTATGTAAGATATTTAAACTGAAGCACTGCTTAACGTTGCTTGACCGTGGATGGAGAGGATGGGTCGTGGGGGGGGGGGGGGGGGGGGGGTGTGGAGCGTGGATTGTCAGCCGCGTCTATACCCCGAACACATTATACAATATTTTTCCTTTTTTTTTCTTCTTCTCAGTTGATAATAATTACTTTATGTTTTGTTTTTGAATAAAATCGAACGCGAGCTTATAATTATGATTCAAAGTTTATCAGAATTCATTATGAGCAACATGATTTTCAACTACAATTATTATAGAATATGTTTTGGTTATTATTTTATACCTTATGAACTAAAATGTCCAATGAAATTTACTAACTGTACATCTCTACTCCGATATTTGTTGAAAATTTCTGTAATCTAACATCTAAATACGTATCCGAATTGACCATGTTTCTTGATTGTTTCGTTTAAACAGGAAAGTACAAGTGACGAAAGTACTAGTGGCGAACCTAGTGACTCGGTAAGTTTATATTCTTTGATTTCGTCCAGCACCTGTAATTAAGTTTAAAGGGGTTAGAGAAGGGGACAAATATTACATAAATGCATATTGCGAAGGAAACAAATATTCAAATTAATATTTCATATTGTCACACGGCTACAGCCTATAAGAACGGGCCTGGATTAATATTAAATAAAAAATGCCATTATGATGTAATGTCTCTATGCGTTTCCAAATAACTTTGATACTGTTATAAAAAGTTTGGGTATGGGGTCATGAATTTGGTTCAAATTAACATATTGGAAGCATATGCGATCATACAATATTCAGTGATCGTTGTCGCGGTTGAAATCGAGACTAAAGTTATTAAATTGTAAATAATACACTCTTTATATTATGTTGTATAGGTCAAGATATTCATAAAGCTTATAAAACAATGTTTATTGACTAAAATCGACCAATTAGCTATTCCCGTTTGGAAATTATATATCACAACTACATATTCTGAGATTTTCATGGTCGCAGCTACCATTGTACGGCCGTAGGCGCTATTTGAATTTTATCAAAATTTACCGGGAGCACCGTTAAATTTTTATACTCCATTTTTCTCGAAAGCAGAAGTGTTTTAAGGGCTAGATTTTTAGTGCTTATCATACATCCACAGGGGCATCCAAATATATCAAAATTGTAAAGAATCACTATCCACCCAATTTTCAAAATTTCCCAAAACTTTGAATTACCTTTAAGCTCCGGTAACAGTAGCGCTCAGTGCATTCTAGGAATGAATCCTACCATGCAGGTACCCACTTACTACTGGGTCGAGTGTGGCAAATGTAGATGAATGTCTTGCCGCGGCGGGATTCGAACCCCGTACCGTGTGCATGGTTCACAGCCAGGAATCTTATCCACTAGACCACAACACCTTACAATGTCGGTCTCGTGGTTACATCATTTTAGAATACCGGCTTTTGAAATAAATATCATGTAATCGCATAAACCATCTCACAATATCAACTAATCAATTCAGGCTTATTGACCTATGCATTCACGTATTATGATAACAATAAACTGGGAAATGCATGTTTATTTATTCATTTGTGCTTTTACTAGTTTATCTATTTATTCATTTATTTAATCATTTATTGATTGATTGATTGATTTCGTTATTCATAATTTATTCATTCATTTATTCATTCATTTATTTATTCATCTATTTATAAATAAATTCATTCATTCATTCATTCATTCATTCATTCATTTATTTATTTATTTATTTATTTATTTATTTATTCATTCATTTATTTATTTAATTATTTATTTATTTAGTTATCTATTTATCTATTTAGTTATTTGTTTATTTATTTATTTATTTATTCATTCATTTACTTTTTTTGTTTTTGTTTTTGTTTTTTGTTTATTCATTTATTTATTTAATTAATATTTATTTATTTAATCATTTATCTTTTTGTAAAACTTTTTAATTCATTTAATCATTTATTCATACATTTATTTATCCATTTATTTATTTATTTATTTATTTATTCATTTAATCATTTATTAATTCATTTATTTAATACACGAAATTAATTTAGATGAAGTAATGATGATATCTTGTTTACGGTTGTCATTGATTAGGATTCAAGTGAAGAGAGTGAATCCGCCGAGACTACCACTGCAGCTGCAACAACGGCTGCTGCTACAACGGTTGCTGCAACAACGGCTGATGCAACTACGGCTGCTGCAACAACGGTTGCTGCTACAACGGTTGCTGCAACAACGGCTGATGCAACTACGGCTGCTGCAACAACGGTTGCTGCTACAACGGTTGCTGCAACAACGGCTGATGCAACTACGGCTGCTGCAACAACGGTTGCTGCAACAACGGCTGATGCAACAACGGCTGATGCAACTACGGCTGCTGCTACAACTGTTGCTGCAACTACGGTTGCTGCAACTACGGTTGCTGCAACAACGGCTGATGCAACTACGGCTGCTGCAACAACGGTTGCTGCAACAACGGCTGATGCAACAACGGCTGATGCAACTACGGCTGCTGCTACAACGGTTGCTGCAACTACGGCTGCTGCAACAACAGCAGTTCCATGCGCGTGCGCCGTCTAAACAACGATCTGTATTAATCCTGTATTTATTTGGGCAACTGTGATATCATATTCGGTCAGCGAGATGCTTCTATTGTTGTTCCCCATTAAATTATTATGTCTTGTTTTGCTTGATACACGATGACGAAATGATATATCAAAACGCTTGAAATGCATGATGTACATTCAATTACAATTTTTGTTAAAGGGATACGTTTCGCCTGCTCACTATATTCTATGTAGGCCAATGCTCCCCTAAAATAAAAAAGAAGCCTTTTTTAGAAAGACATTAATTTGGATCATTAAATCCCAGAGTAGCAATGTATTTTGGATATTTTTTAATTTTGTTATCAATAAACATAAATTATTGAAATTTGTTTGTATTCATTTGATTCAATGAAAAATAATAAATATATCAACTAAATGTCAAGTTAATCCATCATTGTTCGTGTGTCTGTTTTTTAAAACTCTTTTGCATTCCCATTAAGAGTAGAACTCTTTTGTGATCTTAACAATGGTTACACATTGAGTACCCATGTTTAAACTAATTGCAGATATAGTCTACCGCCATGATTGAAATACACTGCATAAACACTTTCCGTATTAAAACTGAAATTACGTTTAAAACAAATACCGTCGAAGAAAATGTCAGATCACCTAAAACATAATCTCCCCTCCCTTTGTCTGTCTGTCCCCCCCCCCCCTCTCTCTCTCTCTCTTTGTCTCTATCTCTCTCTCTCTCCGTGTCCGTGTCTGTGTCTGTGTCTGCCTCTCTCTCTCTCTCTCTCTCTCACTTTCTATCTCTGTCTGTCTCTCCCCTTCTCTGTCTCTGACTCTCTCTCTCTCCCCCCTCCCCTCTCTCTTTCTCTCTCTCTCTCTCACCGAACTCACATGAAGCTCTGAACACAATAGAATCAATAACCTTCCATTGATCACAAAAGGAACGCAAATATATCCGCTTTTATATACGCTGCGTGCAAATGACAACGCAGAAGTTTCCTTTATACGTAAATTGCGTTGAGTTGTCGATGCATAAACAGTTATATGCTAAGTTGTATCTAGGCGTACTGTATATACACGTAGTTTTACAACACAGCTTGAGTTTAATAATACTGATTTATTTGAAATAGGGTAGTTTTTTTTAATTTTCAGCTTCTGTACACCCTCTTCTCAAGGTTAAACTTTGATTCATTTCACCATCACTGAATTGTTATCAACATGGAAAGTGGAATAAACCCGGGAAATTGCCATCACCCAGCTTCAAAAATGAGTAGTCGCCATTGAAGTATCATGGAATTGTGTGTATACCATAAGCATCGACTGAATATATTCGCGAGAAAAGATTCCCGGTTCTGAACAACTTAACGCACATATATCGAACAGTTACGTCAAAGCACTTCAGGTAATAAGTAGTTTATTTAGTAATGTTCAGATTATCTGTTCTGCTATTGAAAAGAGTACATATCATTCTGTTTAAAAAATATAAAAAGGAGAAAAAAGTTTACGACTGGCTGTGGTACAAAATGTAGATAATTAATCACTTTTCTAATCGAAGAGGTATTTTTTTTATATTGCATGATCCTGCCTTTATAGAAAAAATTGTCTATACATTACTGGTAAGCCTATTTCATGTTAAATACCATAAGTAATCAACAACTCGTCGGTAAGTAAAGACTAATCTTTTGCAGACCATTTATGTACGGAGGAGCTAAACGAGTGAAATAAAAAATACTACAGCCTACTATAAAACGACAAAGTCCACAATACAAAATAAATCTTGTACATGTTGAAATGTCTCACACAAACTAATTGGGAAATATGGTCAAAATCAAGGAATAAACAATCAGGAAGAAGGTTTAAAGACCGTCAATACTACTGGGCCAGAAGGGATTAGACCACACAGCGATAATAGATATGTTCGAAAAAGTAATCCTGCCAGTATTGCTAAATTTAGAGATGAGTTGTCAGCAACTGATTGGAGAGAAGTATTACGTGATTATGATGTTGATAGCTCATATGATAAATTCTTAAATACATTCTTTTTGCTGTATGATAAAAATTTACCTTTATGTAAATGTAATAGTAGAAATCGTAGAACAACCCCTCGATTGCCATGGATTACTAATTCTATGTTGAGGTCAATAAATAGGAAAAATAAGTTGTACTATAAGTATAAGATTAGTAAATCTCAGTCTTCTCATAGGAAATATACTATTTATCGGAATACTCTTACTTCAATCCTACGTGCTGCTAAGAAGCAGTATTACTTTGCTCAATTTCAGGCGACACATAATGATATAAAAGGTACTTGGAAAGTGATTAGGAATGTCTTTAAGCCAAAGCAGAAAGCTTCTGATGTAAGTAAATTAAACATTGATGGGAATGTAGTTGATGATCCAGAAGTTATTGTAGATAAATTCAATGAATATTTTTGTAATATTGGCCAGAATTTGTCGCGTGTCATCCCAGAGTCTCAAAAAACATTTTCATTTCATTTCATTTCTTTATTGAGTCCATATAGGATAATTGTTTATATGCACATGAACAATCTTGCTTCAACATATAAATGAACATAGGAACAACATATAATTGACATTCATAGGGCCCTGTTTTAGTATACATTTGATATAATATACATGGTCATGATGAATATACATTTAAATACTCTTTCTTCTTCTTCTTCTTCTTCTTCTTCTTCTTCTTCTCTTTCTTCTTACATACCCTCCATTTTTTAAATTCTTATATACTCTAATCTAAAGTAGGTATTTTGTGTTAAAAATTATTTCTTGATATGGTATAACAGTAGAGGTACAACAGTAAAGTAAGTATACTAAAACAATATATATATTCGTGTAACATGTCAATGAGGGTATTTTGCATGGTTTTCACATTCTCTATTCTTTACTGGGTTTCATTAACTACTCTTATGGAAAGTGGTATGAATGAATTAATGCGACGACTAGTTCTTGCTTTAATAGATCTCAATCTTCGTCCGCTCCTCAGGTGTATGTACTGGTCATTAAGGGGGTGGGTAAGATCAGACATAATGGATAGGGCCTTAGATACTACTCTTTCCTTACAGACTTCATCTAGGTCAACACTATGGTTCATTATTTTGCTGGCTTGTTTTACAACCCTTCTCAGCTTTTGTTTGTCACTTTGCCTTGCATTGTTAAACCAGATAATGGAATCAAATGTAATCTTTTTTCAATCTTTTTTAGAAAACCCTAATCATAATAGTTTATTTTTATTGCCAACGACTGTAGAAGAATGATTTGATATTGTACATTCTTTAAAGAATAAGAAAAGTCCGGGTTGTGACTTTGTAATAAATGAGTTGATAAAAAATGTAATTGTTGGTATTGTACAACCCCTCGTACATATATTTAATCTATCAATGACCACTGGTGTTGTACCCATGAAAATGAAAATTGCAAAGGTTGTGCCCATTTTTAAAAAGGGTGATGCCCTTATCTTGAATAATTATCGTCCTATTTCTTTGTTGAATTCCTTTTCTAAAATTCTTGAGAAGCTAATGTATACTCGGACGATAAAATTTTGTCTAATTTTCAGTTTGGTTTCCGTGAAAAACACACTACCACTCATGCTATTCTACATTTGGTGGATAAGATATCCAGTGCCTTAGATGCACGCATGCATACAGTTGGTGTCTTCTTAGACTACTCTAAAGCGTTTGATACTGTAAATCATGATATTTTAATAGATAAACTGTGCCATTATGGTGTAAGGGGAATAGCATTAGATTGGTTTAGAAGCTACTTAAAAAACAGGAAACAGTTTGTTACTTTAAATGGAATTGATTCAGATTTGCGGGACGTCACTTGTGGGGTCCCACAGGGATCCCTTCTAGGCCCGCTTTTGTTTATTGTGTATATTAACGATTTTCAACTTTCCGCAAAAATGTTAACATTCATTTTATTTGCAGATGACTCGAGTGTATTTTTCTCTCACAGAAATCCACAAACTCTTTTGCAGACTGTAAACTCTGAGTTGACCAATGTGACATTGTGGGTTCATGCAAACAAGTTGTCTTTAAATCTTAAAAAAACTAATTATATGCTCTTTAGTAATTCCCTGAAATTATTGCCTGGAAATGTAATGTTCAATGGTGTTGAGATTGAAAGAGTATCTACATTTAAATTTCTTGGCTTGCATATTGATGAACATTTAAATTGGAAGGACCATATTAGTAAACTTTGTAAATTATTGTCAAGAAATACTGGTGTAATATATAAATTGAAATCTGTGTTCCCACTGAATATTTTACGTATGCTGTACGCAACTTTAATTTTGCCATATTTGCACTATGGTGTGCTAGCTTGGGGCAACTCGTTCAAATCTCAAATTGATAAATTATTACTGGTACAGAAAAGAGTAATACGAATTGTTTGTAATACTCACTATCTTGCGCATACAGATGTTCTTTTTTATAATAGTAGTGTTTTGAAAGTTGAAGATATTTATCATTTACAACTAGGAGCTCTAATGTATGAATTGAATGCAGGTCTACTGCCAGTGGCCTTGGCTAGAATATTTAAGAAAAATAACCAAGTTCATAGTTATTCCACACGTCAGGCGCAAGCATATCACTTGCCTCTTGTTAGAACGCAATTTGCCCTTACTACTTTGGGGTCCACTGGTCCTAGGTTTTGGAATTCCCTTGAACCAAGAATAGCGCAATCGGTCAGTATTTATGTATTTAAGCGCAAACTAAAGTTATTTTATTTGAGTCGATATCGTCTAGATTTATAGCTGTGATCAATATTTAAGAAAAATATTTACTATATAGGTCAGCATAATTCTACTCCCGTTTCTCACATCTATTCATCCGTCCGTCTTTTTTTGTTTTGTCTGTGTTTCAGTCCAGTTGCTCGTAGTTTTTTTTTCCTGTTTCTCTTGTTTAAAGCCATTATTAAGTATTTAATAGATTTTATTATACTTATTTATGTTTATATTTTTTCAGTTGTTTAGTTAGTTTAGTTTATCAGCATTTAAATGTTTGCATTATTCTTATCTGACGAGTTTGTTCTTTTAGGACATACTCATAAGCTACTCATGAGGGACCTTAAATCCACAAGCCCTGCTTTCAACCAAGGTCACCTCATCTTTCTATTGTAACGCCATATTATGTTAAACTTGTTATATTCATGTCATATTTGTTAAGTGTGTTATGAAAGAAAGATAAATAAAACTTGAACTTGAACTTGAACTTGAAGGTCACTGACAGGTGGCTATCTCATTAACTCAGCTCTCAAATAACATAAGAAAAAGAGGATCATGGGGTACCAACAGGCACCGATTAGGGAATTTTTCTATAAAGAGGGAGCAAGTAGCTACAAGTAGGACAGTGGGGCTTTAATATAAGGACACATTGTCTCATCTTTATTGATATGTTGATGACTACAAAATTGAATAAAAGGGAAAACGGGACTTGAGTGAATTTTGCTCAGTGATATAAGAACGCTTTTCCCAACCCATGCAAAGGTGTTGGCATAATTATACGTGTATCATTATTATTAGTAGTCATGTAGTAGAAGTGGTATACAGTAAATTATACAAATAACAGTAATAATAATAAATAATAATAACGATAATAATAAGGATAATAACAACAATGATAATGATGTACAATAATTGATTTGAGGCATAGGTTCCTGATATTTAAGGCCTACAAAATCATAATAATCCGAATTGGTTTCTTTTCTGTATTTACTCACTGCAGCAGGAGGATCAGAACAATATACACCACCCTGGTGATATAACCAACGCTGATGAAGTAGTGACTCCAACACAGGATGGCATCAGTACCAGACGAAATGCCCCACCCTCACGCCCCTACCCCAAACCCTCCACCACCACCACCAGTCCCGGAGTTACCCCCCTACGCACCAGTCGATCCCCAAAAGACTCCACTGCGACCTGACCTCGGCTCTCCCCCGCCTTACGCAAGTGTAGTGCAGGAGACATATACGAACAATGGGTACCAAGGTGAAGGTCGTTGTCAAGGTCAGTGTCAAGGGCAGTCACAAGGACAAGGTCAATCTCAAAGTCAACCTCAATGTCGTGTGCATTATCATAGAGGACCGCCGTTTCATCGGTGTCATGTTCATCATCACCATCATCGAAGCCCCAGTGGGGCGGGGCTCTCAGAGGCCATGCAAGAACTCGTTGTTGACCACGGTCTGTCGACGTCTTTCGGACAATACAATCAGTGCTCCCTCAACGACATGGCTGCGCCTGTAAGTCTATTCGCCTTTCTGGGGGTGTTTCACAAAGACAAAGATCGACTTCAAGTTGGACTTAAATATGGCAGGCCGTTCATACCACTGTTTACTCTCAACATTTACTGGCATTGGTCTCTCAAGGAACGTACAAAATCAATCATGGTCACAAATCTACAGAATTCGCATTTTTGATAATTCATTATTCAAGGAAAAAACCTATTTAAACATCATAATGGTAAGAGCAAACAGTGGCATAAACGGCCTGCCATAGTTAAGTCCAACTTAAATTCGATCGTAGTCTTTGTGAAACACTCCCCTGATGTTGTAATGAAGGTACAGCGATGTAGCTAAAAATGAGGGTACAGGGGCCCTTGACCCACTCAAATCAAAGGGAGGACAAAGACAGTAAAACAAAAGCGAGAAAGAAGAAGGGGAAGGTTAAAAGAAGATGACAGGACTCCTAGAAAATCCCCTAGTTGATGGCTTTCTTAATTCACTTTCACTCCATCTAGTAAGATTGGTGCCCCCCCCCCCTCCCCTCTCCCACTGAAAGGCCGGTCTCATGCTAATTCACTGTATAAACACAATATTCATAGCAACAATAGGCCGCATATGTTTGACTTCCTATTTTCAAATGCATACTGAAAAGCCGACACCGTATTCTAAAATTAGGAAATGACAAACAAAATAGTTAATACATCTTCAAGATTCAGGAAATAGGGGGAGGAGGGGGGGGGGGGGGGGGTAAGTAAACAACCACCCTCATTTGCGCTCATTTGTCTCATTTTTGTCATGGACCTATGCCTTTCGTCATTTTGTGGTTGAAATAATTTTTTCCAGATCTATGTTAGAAATTAATGTTACAAATTATGTTTAGAATACATTGTCATATTTCTGTTTGAAACTCGTATTTTGTTCTTGAAATATACTGTCGTTTGAATTTCATTTTCAAATTACAGTCAAACCTGTCTATAGCGACCGCCCAAGGGAAACACAAACAGTGGTCTTTGTAGACAGGTTCCTTATGATGTTTCAATGAGAAATCATTTTCAAGGGAACAAAAAATGTGGTCTTTGTAGACAGGTTTCTTTGTAGACAGGTGGTCAGTAAAGCAGGTTTGACTGTATCTCAACCCCTTTTCTCTCTCTCCCCCAACAGATGCGATACCCGCAGCATGTAACGATTATCCGCGATAGCCAAGTCGGTGCTGAGATCAACACTCACTGTCTGATCGGTTTTGCTACCTTTGTGCTGTGCTGCTGCTGCGTGCCTTTTGGAATGGCAGCGATGATGAAGGCACTGGAGGTGAGCATGATGGCTGAAATGGCGTTGCTCTGTGGAGATTAGGGGGAGGGAGGGGGCGGGGTCCGATCAAAATATAGATAAATGGGAAAGAGGGAGAGGAAGGGTGGAGAGAGAGAGAGAGAGAGAGAGAGGAGAAGAGAGAGAGAGAGAGGAAGAGATTGAAGGAGGGGAAAGGGAAGAGGGAGAGAAAGAGAGATAGAATATATAATTGAATGAAATTATAAACAAATAAATAAATAAATGGGTAAATAATTAGATTAATAACATATTGAATGAATAAATAAATAAATAAGTAATAGATAAATTGATGATATTTAGATGAAGAATGAATGAATGAATGAATGAATAACAAGAAAGAAAATAAGTATAGATAGAAAGAAAGAGAAATTAGAGATTCAGCGTGTGCAAGGCCTAACGTCTTATCGTCGTCTCATGTTTTCCCTTTCAAATTGAACTGAGCAGAAAAGTTCTATTAGTTTGTCCCGCTGGTCAAAAAATGATTAGGAATAATGACATTACGTTGATTCTATATTTCGCTTGCAGGTTCGAACCCGACTACAAACTGGAGACATCGTCGGGGCCAGGACGGCGGCGTCATCATCCAGGATGTGGGCTGGCTCGGGGCTTCTGATCGGGGCCGTATTTGAACTCTCCCTCATCATCTATATTTTGTACATTTAGAGGAAGAACCCACTTTAAAAAATAATCTGTAAACTCAAGATTTACAAAATATGGTTATACAACAAACAAGCGCAGCATATCATAATTGATAACAAATTATTTTCGACAAAGGCTACGTTGAGAATTAATAATACTTCTTAAATCAGGCCTACTGTTTGTAGACATCAGAAAACCTTTTTGCGAAAGCAATTCTTTTTTAAAGCCCCACTGTCCTACTTGTCGCTACTTGCTCCCTCTATATAGAAAACTTCCCCAATCGGTGCCTGTTGGTTCCCCATGATCCTCTATTTATTATGTTATTTGAGAGCTGAGTTGATGAGAGAGCCACCTGTCAGTGGAGGTCACTGACAGGTGGCTATCTCATCAACTGTGTGGTCTAATCCCTCCTAGCCACACTAGGTGTCGATAAGCTTTAAATAGCAGGTGCGTCGCAATAAACATGTTTACTGTCCCGGCCGTAACTACCCCCCCCCCCCAAAAAAAAAAACAACAACAACAACAACAACAACAACAACAACAACAATAGTAATCCTTTTTTTAAATCGTATGTTAAATTATTTAACTTAGCTTTGAAATAGTTAACGTAATGTATATCTTTATATAAATACAAACTTTATATTAGCACGTCTTGACATTAAACAAAAAGTTGTCGAACTCGTGAGAGTGATCACATCACACACTCTATATTTATCATAGTAATGTTGTAGGATGATCATAGTTCTCGTGACTTCAACCATATACATATATATATATATATATATATATATATATATATACCAAAATCTGTGTGTGAATTAATTCATTTATATATCTCAAATAATAAATTATGTTTAAATCAAAATGTATGTATATTTTTTTATTGGACATTTAACAAAATTAAACAATATTTAAAAATAATCATTCATGAATTTACTTGTCATCACTTGGGGCATTTTTTCATAAATTTGACAGGTGAAGACTTGGAGTATGTCTAAAGTCAAACTGGACCAAAATGAAAGAGAAGAGAAGAAATGAAAATGGAGCCAGAGCAGAAGAAGAGACTTAAAATAATTAGGAAATGAAAGGAAAGAGAATCGGATCGAAAAGAAAAGAGCTTGAAACAGAAAGGGAGAGAAGAGAAGTGAAAGAGGGGAGCTCGAAAAGAAGAGAGTAGCTAATAGGATCGAGGGAAAGGAGAGAGAGAGAGAGAGAGAGATGAGAGAGATATGGGAGAGAGAGAGAGAGAGAGAGGGAATGAGAAAGAGGGAGAGAGAGGGGGTGTGAGAGAGAGGGAATGATAGAGAGGGTGAGAGAGACAGACAGACAGAGGATGAGAGAGGGGGGAGGGGGGGGGGGGGGTTGAAGGGAGGTCTAGGGTGACTTGCTCTCAGCAATTTCAGACCATAAACTAAAGGGCTATTTACCATTATAATCAACTACTATTCCATATAAATTAATGTTACTAAAAATGTTCCATGCCGAAAATCGACTCCTTTTTTTTCTCTCTCAAAAGATCTATACATACACGAATATGTACATCATGTGCATTATTGGAATAAATCCTCTAATATCTTTATGTCTATCTCTATCTCTGTTTATCTCTGTTTCGCGCTCTCTCTCTCTCTCTCTCTCTCTCTCTCTCTCTCTCTCTCTCTCTCTATCTCACCCCTCTGCCCTTCCTAGAACTCTCTCTCTCTCTCTCTATGTCTCTCCCTGTTTTGTTTATCTCTATCTCTCACCTCTCTTCTCTCTCTCTCTCTCCCTCTCTCTCTCTTAAACCCTCTTTCTGATTCTTGATAAACTAATGCGAGTTCGGGTCATCTCCATCCGAGTGAAGTTTGAGCAAGTTATGGCAAACACCCTCACATAGCAATCAATTTCATATTTCTCTCTGCTCGCTGAGTTGTACGCTCCAGACGAAAATATAAATCAATGTATGAAATATCATATATCATGACATAATTATCAAGACTCGGGGTATACGTGTAGCACAGATGAGAAGGCACACACACTTGGGATGGAAAAGGCACCGGTATCATTCAGGGGCAATGTTTTTTTTTTTCATCAACAAATACGATGAAAGCCGAATTTAAAAGGGCACTTTCTTTTCACGTTCCTCTTTCCCTTTCCCCTTATTTTTTGTTGTGGAGGGGGGGGGGGGGTGGCTGGGGCAATCACATGTCACCTATTTTACATCCCAGATAAATACCACAAGGCATAATGCTTATATAGTAATGGTTACTGACATGTTTATTTTCCTCTTCAAAACTTATAAGCATAACGTTTATTTACATGTATCAAGATTTTATAGAGAAGCAGGCAAATTTCTGAAAGTCCATTTTCCCAATCTCTTTATTTCGTACAATAACATTTACACCACATATCCAATCAAACTTTTTCGTCATTGTTATGAAGAAAACAAGTAGAAACATAGCAAACAGAATCCTTTATAATTGTGTTCATTCACTTCTGAATAGCTCACTTAAATATAATGTCCGATTAATGTATATAATTCAAGTCTTAATAATACGCCCGTTTTTGTGGTAAGATATATAATTATATTCTTCGCAATGAATAGACAGCTCTCTCCCACACACCCAGAACATCCACATAATAATAGACAGTCGACAATGCTATTCAATCATAATGTACCCCGCCTGTTTAATCATCCGTTCCATCACTAGACACCTGAAGAAGCACTTAAATCTGATTTATTTGACTGATTTCTACACCTTTATACCATAACACTGTAAAACAACTCGTGTGAGAGCGTCATATAAATGAATATAATTTATTATTATTATTATTATTATTATTATTATAAAAACAGGTAAAACAAAATTATAAAATCATATTTTAAAAACCATCAACAAAATTAGCAGTATAAAAAGGAGAATAATTTGGAAACAAAGATTACAAAACTTAAACCATCTCACAAATACTATACAACAGCATTTTGAGCATCATTGGTAATTGCTGCATCACTAAAAGTGATGACAACAATTATATGGAAAGTGGAAGGCGCTGAAGGAGAATGACGTCAACAAAATGGCGTCATATACATGTCTGCAGTCACGTGATAAACGCTGTCCTCCAATCAGAAGTGTGCTAATAGCCGATGCAAAGCTCAGTATAATCCCGCCCTTGGATATGGCCTATAGAAGGAGAGAAAAAATGTTTAAACAAATGAATTACTGCATAATAACAAGGCATAATCATCATACATAAAGGAATCCATCACCATGTATTGATTATTAGTTATTAACTTTGGATATTAATAAGGGTAGCTTTTATTCAGTATTAGAAAAGATACGTTGTTTCGAGAAAAAAAAACGAAAAAAAAAAACGTTATTTGTTACCTGAAGATATAACACGAACACCCCCTTTAGGTACTGTGTTTAAACCCCACTGTCCTACTTGTAGCTTCTTGCTCCCTCTATATAAAAAAAACTTCCCCAATCGGTGCCTGTTGGTGTCCCATGATCCTCTTTTTCTTATGTTAGTTGAGAGCTGAGTTGATGACATAGCCGCCTGTCAGTAACCTGGCTGGGTGGTTTAATCCCTTCTGGCCCAGTAGTATTGACGGTCTTTAAGCGTAAATAGTTGATTTGTTCCTCCTCGATCTCTATAGTCCCCCCCTTTTTTCTCTTTCTTTCTCTCCCCTATCTCTCTCTCTCCCCTTTCTATCTGACTCTCCCCAATCCTCTCCATTCTCCATTTTCTCTTTCTTTTACCCTTCCCCTCTTCTATTTCTCTCTCCCGACGGGCCTGACATTTTGTATTGCATCACTTAGTTTTATCTTACCATGCCTCTCAGAGACTGTTTTGCAGATTTCGTCATAGCGCCCTCTCTGGACAAGACGATCAAACGCGTCGTTCCACCAGTTGACGAAATCGGGGTTATTGTGACGTGTCATGACTGAATTCCCTCCTTTCAGACACTTATTCTGGAAGTCTGAGGGCGTGATTCTCATCAAGGCGGTATCGTATTGAGCTAGGGCTGAGACAAAGATGACATCGACCTACAGACATAACGAAAAAAGAAAGTAATTAAGTAGTCCCAGTTTCTGATTCCTAATCATGGATTTCGAAAGTTTGGCGGCGTGATTCTTATCAAAGCGCTGGTTTACTGCGTGAGGACTGAAACAAAGATGGCATAGCCTAAGGAAATATAGAAAAAAGTAGGGCCGGTTTTATTTCATCATCATTAATAATACTACCGGTAATAACGAAAATAATAATATCAATAGTGATGACAATAATAATAATTATTATGATGATAATGACAACAATAGTGATAATAATAAAAACAGTTATTATAAATATACATAATATTAATGATAACTATTACAACGACAATGATGATAACTTTGTAAACCACGTAATCCGAATCAGTATCAGTGCTGTTCTTCCTGAGGGCGCCCTACAATAAATCATTACCCCCAGAATTTGCCAGGTACACAATGTGGAGAGCGGCAAATGTGGATGAATGGCTTGCCAACCCTCAACATTTGGGAATCAATCGATCGTTCTCAACATTTTGTTTCATAAATTGTGTTATTCATTGAGTGATTTCAAGTTGGGTGTTAGTGTTAGTGTTAGTGTTAAGAGCAGTCAAGAGCTCTTAAATCGAGCGAAATATTTGCTGATGAAATTAAGAGCCCGATACCGATATCAAAATCGATAGCTTAACACCAGCTGTGACGTCACCACATACTTGATTTCACGACGATGATTTAAAAATAGTACATACAAACTTAATATATCATGAAAAGTACAGAATAAATTTACACCTATTTCTCTGGTCTTATAAAATAACTCATTTTACACAAAAGAATATATGAATTACCTGTTTCACAAATTTGTATTTGATCGTCAGACAATAAATTGGCGTCGTTCGTGCGTTGACTGTTGTGCGGTACAACACTAACACCGAACTTGAAATCAACATTTGCTTAATCCCTAGGGGCTAGTGTTAGTGAATAGGACATTTGTACGTCAAACATTAACACCAGCCACAAAGGTCGTGTAGCGACTAATGTTACAGTGCATTCATTTATAATTCACTGGTATACATATTGTGTTTTTAATACAAAATGGCCGCTTTAGAAGTCATTGAGAGTTCGAGGATTTGGTATTACGCCATGTCCTCAGAACTGGTTTTAACTCGATTTATTATATAACGATGTTTATTCATTAGTATTTTCATCACATGATGAATTAACATAGATGTACGCGTATTTATTCATAAGTATTTAGATCACGTGCTTAATTAACATACATGTGCGCGTGTTTTGAACCAATCGCGCTGTAGTTGATTGGCGCTTTTCTGATTTTCCTGTGCGGGAATCAGTGAGCTGTTTTAATATTGGTATACACACATGCTGTTATTGTGTCGATTATTGTACCTAGAAAATTGTATCCAACGAGGATTGAACTGCTACGTCCCCGGACCATTCCTGGTGGACGTGCTCACCTATTTACATTTTGTACGTTTTGCAAGATCAGGGGCGGATCTAGCTTTTTGCTAAGGGGGGGGGTTTGACCAAAATAATGACGATGCGGAGCATCGTCCACGAGCCGCGAAGCGGCGAGCCGATTTTTTGGGGGGTGTTTATTTGAACCCCGTAAGTGATGTTTTCCTGGCATCTATTAACACAATGGAGACCATAAAAAGCAGTGCATGATAACCTCTTTTTAAATCAAGTAACAGTTTAATACATAGTTATATCCAGAGTTATCATGTGTTTGGTTAAGTTACCAGATGAGTTGAATATCTTCTCACAATATTTGCACTTGAAAGGGTTTCTCTCCAGCGTGCGTTCTTTTTTCTTTCTTTTTTTCTTCCTTTTTTCTTTTTTCTTTCTTTTTTTCTTTTTTTTTTTCTTTTTTTTTCTTTTTTTTTTTTTTTTTTTTTTTTGGGCCGCCCAAGGGGGGGGGGGGGGGGGGGTTGCAACCCCCCAACCCCCCCCCCCTGGATCCGCCACTGAAGATATATTTTGACTCTCTCGATGTTCAGCATTGACGACACTTTAATTCACCAGCAGTGAGAATAGAACATTTAATATGATCTAACGTTTTTCTCACCTGCATTATTGTTTGACAACCTTTTATCATCGACTTCATATGATATATATTGTCTCGACATTTGATTCTTCGACCTGCATCGCAAGTTACTGAAGTTGATCTATTGACATTGACTGCATCATCATTGTATTCATCTGTTAACTGATTCATCATCGTCTTCATCACCGTTGTCTTCCTCATCGTCGACTTCATCATCGCTGTCTTCACCAGCGTCGTCTTCATCGTCGACTTCATCATCGCTGTTTTCACCAGCGTCGTCTTCATCATTGTTCTCATCATCGTTGTCTTCAACATCGTCTTCATCATCGTGGTATTCACCTAGCGTCGATCATCGTCTGCATATCCTACGCGATCGACAACCAGCTCATCGACCACTGTTTTCGACTAGCTAGTTTCTACATCTTTCTAGAACTTGAAGAAGATCTACTCTGAATTCAACTCCAATGACTCACGTAACGTTAATTATATTGTGATGTATGCTTTGCATTGTTTATCATTGTGATGCCTTATTTTGACTGACTGAGTGCCTGTTGTTGAGTGCGTACGCTTACTAACACATATTTTACATGTTTATAATTGCACTAGTTCTAGGCCTATACCTGGTCTACTGATCTAGATCTGCTATAGTCTAGATCCACCGATATATTGTTGTATTCTCGTGTTGTGCCTTCCGTACACATACACAAGTAGAGATTTGTTTAGTGGTTTCTTGAACCACAATATTTCGTGCCTATGTAAGTAAATCTAAACGCTGTCTAGCTTAGATTTGTGTAGTATTTTCTTGACTGTTATTATTCAGGCAGTGTGAATGATATTTAACTGACTTGTTTTAGTACTGTCTTAAGTTGTACTGAACAGGACTCCTGATATTTCGAGACTTGTATTAAGCGGTAATCATTAATACCATAGTGACTAAGTTGAGTCTCCTTTACATTAATGTGCTGTTGGAAGTTATCTATGTTTGATTATTAATAGTAACTACCAAGGGCCTAGTGATAGTTTAATTGTCTGTCGCTGTTGAGATAGACAGAAGAGGTTTCTGATAATTCTGTAATCATTGTTTCTTATGTGAAATTATAGAATATAGAACCAGTTTTTAACCATGAGCAATTTGTCTGGATGTGATCATTTATTAAGTGTTTTCTTGTCTGGAGGGATACTGCTTTTTAGTAGTTTAATTAAAAAAGGGAATTATGTGGGATTACTAGTTAACACGCAACAAAGTCCATACCCCATGTAGTTTTCCAAAGTCGGTTCAGCAGACGACAATTTTGCAAAATCGATAACACTAGCTACCGGAAGTTGACGATATTCAGAGGTCAAAGCCTTAACACCAGCTGTTTTCCATTTCGGTGTTTAGACTGGTGTTAGTGTTTATTAAACACTAACACCAGCCTTAAACACCCAACTTGAAATCACTCATTGTGATTTGAAAAAAATATTACCACACTGTACAAAATGTTCATATTGTTACTGATTATTATTGTATGGACAAAAAGCAGAAATCAATAAATCAAATCAATTCACATCAAATCAAATCAGCGGTACCCCAAGTTTAGGCCTACCCAAAAAATGCTGTATTACCCTTTGGGTGCCAAAACATGGGTCGGTCAGTCGGAATTTGTTTTTTTCACATTTTTTTTAAAAACTCTCTCTTTGGGCTTTATTTCTCAGTTTAGAATATTTTGAAACTTTTTGATGATATCAAGAAAGTGTCTGGACAAGGAATGAAAGGTGCAACACAAATGGCAGGTGAAAGAGTTGCATGGCGTGCTCTCGTGAAGACCACAACAGCGCTTTACAGTGCCAACCTGAAGTTGATGATGATGAAAACTTTTTTCTTCTTAAAAAAACGGATTTTTTTTATTTTTTAAAAGCCGATTTCAAGATTTTGGGGTCGGTCGCAAAGGGCAATACAACATCTTTTTTGTAGGCCTTATATACTAACCTCTCCAGTGTTGAGTGCTTCAACTAGTCTATCTGATGAGGCGATATGTATGATCTGGTCTTGACGCAGACTCGAACCCTGCAACGAAAGAAAAGGCCATCAGATTTATGATTATTTTTTATTGATTCATATCGGGAAAAGGGTAACTTAGCTCCCACTATACAGCATTTTTCTATTGACATTACAGTTGAACTAGGTTAATGATATATGATTATTTTGCAAACGAGTATTCGTTTGTGCCACGTCTATTAACTGCTGTGTTAAATCTTAAAATGTACTATAGAATTTATTTTAAGTGTTCTGTATCAACGTTATGCTTTTTAATGTTAATATGTTCATGTTTATTCAGGGACCCATGGAAGAACACTACATATTGGTCAATGGGCTACCCTGACAAAAAATTAGAAATAAAATGAAATAAATAAATAAACAGCAAAACGATGGTAGGCATACACGATAGAGAGAGAGAGAGAGAGAGAGAGAGAGAAAGAGAAAGAGAGATAGAGATTGAGAGATCGAATCGAATCGAAATCGAATTAAATCGAATCAAATCAAACCTGTCCAAATCAAATCACAACAAAACAAAATCTAATCAAATTAAAACAAATTTATCAAAATAAAATAAAAATAAAATCCAACTATACCGCAATGTCCGTGTATCGGGCTAGACAGAACTCATCGTAGGCCCAGCCATCAACGAACCCCACATTCAGGTTTGTCACATCATCGTATGAGAGTGTGCTGCCGCTCTTTGCATACATTGTAACTTTGTTAGGTTCCATGAAAGGTTTGGTGAAGGAGTATGTCAGCAGACGGTCAAATGTTTGGATCCAACCTGAAAGGTAATACAAAGTTTTAGTATAATGGTCATGAATTAGGTTCAATGAACATAATTCGAAGCATTTGCGATTTTACAATATTCAATGGTGGTTGTAGCGGTTCAAATCGAGTCTAAAGTGATGAAATAGTATTGTAAATAATAAACTCTTTATTTTTGTATCGCTCCCTCTCAAGCTTTAAAACAATGTTTCTCGACTACAATCGACCGACCTATTTACTATTCCCCTTTGGAAATTATATATCAGGACTGCATATTCTCATATAGTGAATACTAAAAAAAAAAAAAAAAAAAATCATTTTGCACCCCGAAATTTGAAAAAAGTGCCGACCAAAATTTCGGGGGGGGGGGGGGGGGGTAAAAAGCACTACAAAAAAAAATCATTTTGCCACGCAAAAAAAAAAAAAAAAAAAAAAAAAATGATTTACTTTTTTGGGGGGCCGGCCCCAGGGGGGGGGGGGGGGGTTAAACTTCCTAACCCCCCCCCCCCCCCTAGATCCGCCCCTGGAAGTATTTAAAGTGACTCGGTAATATTGTTGAAGGTTGATGAAAAAATTGCTTAATTTTTGTATAAAATGTTACTTACTCTATTTCTTCTACTGTACTGACCCTCTGACAAGCAAAAAATCCTGACAAAATTCTCAAACCACAAAGATATCTATGGTTTTCTTTGAAGGCGTCGATGTACGACACCCTCTAAAAGTGATTAACAGTAAATTCTCCCAACCATTTTTGAATTTTCCAAACCGTTTTTCCATAAAAAAAAAGACATAAAACAGGCTATAAAAAATCTGTCAACACTGAAATGTCTGGAATGGAATGTAGAGCCATTTTATTGCTTTGTGACGATTTACATTCACATAAAATGTAATTAAATTGTACTAATATAGTTGGGAGAATTAAGGAATCGATCAGATCAGTTTTTCTCAATTTGTACCATGGCATGAATAATGGTCCGTTTTCACTCAATTTGTCAGATTATCTTTAATTGTACATCTAGCATTGAAGTCACTACCTTAGCATCACTATCTCTCATCTGAACAATGTTACCAAGTCCCTTTAATTGTTCATGCACACAGTATCTACAATCCTGCACTTTTTCAGCCTTTACTCTTCTTTACTCGGTGCACTACCAATCTAATAACAGTAGCATTCACATCCTAGCAGGAACCCATTCACAACCTGGGTGGAGAGAAGTAAGTTTAGAGAAAATGCCCTTTGCAATTAGAACTTTATTATCTACTCACCCGAGCACCCGTCATACCAGCCTCCCATTAGCCCCTGGCCGCCCCTGGGCCGCTGGCCTGCGTTGCTGTCCCAGCAGTTGCCATAGACGTCGTATACCAATTTGCAGTTCTTGTTAGCGATGGCGCAAACTTGTGATATTAATTGAAAGAGAAGTAAATAAACTGATACAGGTTATGAAACGTTGATGCACTTGCCTGTGTTAATAGTAAGAACCGTTTACAGAGAAAAGGATAGAAATCAATATTTTGTGAACCTGTTCAGAAAGTTTATGTGGTGTAGATTGATACACTGCTTAGAACGGAGAGTTTAATCATGGAGTTTGTATCTATTTTGTTTATAACCATAGGATTGCAGATGTTCGCTCATTAATATAAAAATATATATAGCAATGAAGCAAAACCGCTTTAGTATTCTGTTACAAATATTCGATTACATCAATTATTTGACTTATTCAAAATCTTAAAATTTTAAGTCTATATTTTTGTTTAACTACATTGTGAATATGTGTTTTTGGTACATCCTTCATTACCAGGAGCATCACTAGAAATTTTCGAGGTGGGACTTGGAGGGGGGGGGGGGGTGGGGGAGGGGGGGGGGTGTAAGAATTTCACAATGGTTTTTTTTTATGGGGTCAGATTAAAATTTTCTGGCCATCAAGGAAGCAAGCAAGTAAAAGGAAAGAAAGACAAAAAGATAAGACTTGCAAACAATTCAAAACTTAGAATTTGCCGATAGAAAAATTGATGGTTGAGGTGGGAACTCCGGCCTGCCAATTAAACAAATAAACCCCTCCCCCTATTTAGCGACGCTTCTAGCTGCTAATGCCCAACTAAAAACCGAGTAGTTCTAAATATATTACTCATTGCGGATATAGTATCGAAAATAATATCGCTAGTGATATTCGTTTGTCTCGCAATACCCGTCGAGTATAAAAGACGCTTGCTTACAATATATTTTATCACCTGACGAAGTGTTGCAACGGCGCACGAATACATTGCGAGACAAACGAATATCACTAGCGATATTATTTTCGATAAAAACCGAGTGTTTCTTACCCGCATCCACTATATCTGGATTAAATCCCCGGATCGTGTAAGTCTCTTCATCCCTGCGTCAAAGATCAAAGGTCAAGGTCAAGAAAGGTCAATGAGAACGCGAATATATTGGTAGACAAACGACATTATGAGAGACGCAAGCCTAAAAAGGGGTAAAAAGAAGATGTTGTATTCCCCTTTGCGACCGACCCCCAAATCAATGGTGGGCTTTTTAATATTTTCCCCTTTTATTACATAAAACATGTTTAATGAATACACAAATATGTATTTTGTTTGTTTAAATGGGATATAAATCCAAACAATCATCAAATTATTCAAAAATTCTCACTCGTCTTCTGGCTTCGAAATCCTTCGAAATCCTGCTAGCGTAAACAAGTAGACCCGTGTACGTATATATACCATACACTGCACCAGCTATAACAACCAACAAGATTTGGGCGACGTTCCCGGTTTTAATTGTTTTAGGGTCTACGTTCGCTGTTTTGAGGGGGGGGGGGGGGGGAAACAAGGAACTCCGACCGACCGACCCAGGTTCCGGCACTTAAAGGGCAATACAACAGTTTTTTGTGTAGGCCTTATAGTAAGGTACAAAGACGAATCCAACAGGGAAATAATGTTCACTTCATACCTTCACTGCAATATACTTATTCATGCAAAGCTGCCACTCCTCAGGCACTGGCCTTCCTATGAAATTTAATGGCATGTTTCAAATAATTTCGTTTACTATTCATAAATACTCTGGCTATCCGCCGAACTTCCAAAAATGTGCATTCGAACAACCCCAAACAGCCAGGTATCCGTTTGACAAAGACTTTTTTCAATGACAAATGACAAAAATCACTGACAAATCTGCTGATAACAAATCAGAAGCAAGGACTTCACTAGCTTATAAGAAAAACTGTCATTTGTCACTGATGACAAGTTTTCTGAAATGAGGCCCTGGCACGTAGATCGATATGACACACGTACAAGCCCGACGAAGATAATAATTATATTGAACTTGGGGAGAAGTGGGCCGTTGCGTGGGATGCGTCTGAGTACACAAAGGGGCGTACACCGGAAGCTATACAAGAACGTCAAATAAATTGTAATAATAATCCTTATGATAGATTATGTCGTATTTATCCAGGGTAGCCTCACCGGTATCAATAACATTCTACATGTAATCATAATCACCCCGAGAATCCGTTCCACTAGCTGTCTGCTAGCTGCCCTAACAACAAAGAACTTGAAGACGATAGACTTCATGCACGGCTGATCTCGGGGCTAATCGTCATGCACGAAACGGAGTTTGTTTGTTTGTTTACTACGGCAGGCAGCCAGTGAAAACTAATTGGTTTAATAACATTATGGAAATGCAAGCATTACTTTAAACAAACATAACTTTGTTATTCCTTGCTCATTTTTCCTGATTGAGGTGTCATATGAAAAGGCAGAAACCCAAATTTCTGAAATGTGATTTTCTCTTTGAAATAAAGATACCGTTCGCCAAATGATTTTTTGATACCCTTTCTTCAAATTGTTTTTAATCACTCATGCATAACATATGCATCATATATACATCATATAAAAGAGGAGGATCTAAGCTTTACAATATGTGTCATTCATTTATTAATTATAATTGTGATTAAGTTATGATAAAACATCGATTATGAGATGTTAATGCAATAAGGTACTAAGTGGGTGAGGGCATACCACTGTCTTTTGTTCATGTTTTTGTTTTATCTAGCTGACTGATGTTTTCATATAATAGCCTATTGAAACCCTTCTTTTCATTATGTTGCTTGGGGATTTCTGAGATAGCAAGTGCTTAAAATGTAAACACATTTTGGGCGTAGTTCAGTTCAGTTCAGTTTATTAAAAATTAAAAAAACCATGACATAGCAATCATGAATAACAAACATAATCAAAAATGAGACCCCCTAAAGCAATGCTTGTGAGTGGGGCCTCTGTGAAGGATGGACCTCTCAATCCCGGCGGATTTGCAAAGAGACCAACGTGTTTCAAGGATCCGCGCAATTCAAAACATGAAAGATGGTAGGATACGATCATGGGTACGATACAGTATGACGCGCGCAGAGCCCCCAAAACACGCAGGTCCCAGAGTCCGCCAACCGAGATCAAGACGTTCATTTACAACAACAAAAAACATGGTAATGTACACAACTGATTACAAGGAAATGGCAAGGTTATGTAACTTTAAAAACATATTTACAAGGAAATTACAAGGTTATATAACTTTAAACCATATTTAGTAGGAAAAAAGCTGAATCACTGACAACATCATGAACCCCCTGTAGTAACTTTGCGAGTTGGACGATAATGGCCTATTTATTATAAAGTTAACTTACAAGTATTCAATGTTGCTACCGTAGTGGCCAATTGCAATCATCCAGATCTTTTCGTTACTAGTACCTGGTTCAAAGAAAGACAAAAAGGACAATTTAAGACAAATCAATTCAATTCAAGTTTATTTCTCCTTTTGGTTAACAATCAACATATGTATGTGTGTGTGCGTGTGTGTGTGTGTGTGTGTGTGTGTGTGTGTGACTGGGTTGGCAGGTAGTTCAAATAGAATAAAAATATGTAATACTTTAATTTTCATGGTGAAGTATGTTATATTTATGTCAAGATCGGCGGGACAAGTACCAACTTTAGAAAAGATAAAGAAAACTATTTTGATTATAGGGATGAGGAAAAGAAAAATAGCCATTAGAATAGGAAAGCTGGGATTACATTTTTTAAAGTGGGAGCAGCTTAGTATTAATTAAGATTGGTTTTCCTCTCCACCGTGAGCTTGTTAAAGTGTAACTCTATTTTGCAGCCTGGCTAATAACTTACATACTTAGTATATTTTTCTTGAGTTGAGAATGTTAGCAGACATCCACTGAGGAGTGTGTGTGTGTGTGTGTGTGTGTGTGTGTGTGTGCGTGTGTGTGTGTATGTTTGTTTGTGTTGGTTGATAAGTTTGTTTTGGGGAAATCATATTGGAAATTTAACAGTAGTTTATGTATGGATAAAGATTTTGTTGAAGAGATGAATAAGGAAATACAGGAATTAAAAGCTGAATGGTCATTACAGATTTTGAATAAATTAGTATTTTGGGATTTTTTAAAGATGAAAATGAGAGAATTTATTATAACATACTCGCGGAAAAAGGCAAAAGCAAGGAGGGTTGAAATTGAACTGTTAGAGAAACAAATCAAGGATTTAGAAGGCGAACTGGTAGTGGGACCCACTAAATATATTGTTGATTGTATTGAGGAGAAAAGGGATAAACTAAATAAATTGTATGATTTTTCTCGACAGGGCATTAAAATATTAGATCAAGAGCACCTTGGTTTGAAGATGGAGAAAACAATACGCAATATTTTGAACAGTTGTTAAAATCGAATAAAAGGAAAAGTGTAATTAGGGAGGTGTACAAAGAAAATGGGGAAACTACTAGAGATAAGGAGGAAATTTTAAAGGAAATTAAACTATTTTATAAAGATTTATATTCTTTAAGGGCTGATATAAATCAAAACGACCCTTTCTTTTTTAATGATATTTCAAAGTTAAATGAAGACAATAGGGAAATCTGTGAAGGTAAATTAACTAAAGATGAATGCTTGAAAGTTTTAAAAGAAATGAAATTGAATAAAACCCCGGGAAATGATGGGTTCACAGTTGAATTTTATTATACTTTTTGGCCAGCTTTGGGTGATTTGTTAGTAGAAGTATTGAATGAAACATACAAAAGGGGGGAATTAACGGCATCTCAAAAACAAGGGGTAATTACCTTAATTGAGAAGGAAGCAAAAGATACTCTCCATAAAAATTTATCGACCCATCACGCTTTTGAATGTAGATTATAAAATTGTATCTAAAGTTCTAGCAAAAAGAATGAAAGAGGTTTTAAATGAAATAATTCATCATGATCAAGTTGGATATATAAAAGATAGAAATATTGGGGAAGCTGTACGATTGATAGATGACTTGTTATTTTATTCTATGCATTATGGGGAACAAGGGAAAGGGTTTTTGTGTGCAGTGGATTTTGAGAAAGCTTTCGACTCTGTATCTCATAGATATTTATTTCAAATATTGAAATTGTTCGGTTTTGGAGATTCATTTTGCTCTTGGGTAAAATTATTGTATAAAGGGATAAGTAGTTGTGTTATGAACGGTGGTCACTCCACGGGGTATTTTGAAATAGAAAGGGGAGTAAGGCAAGGGGATCCATTATCGCCATATTTGTTTTTGGTTGCCATCGAAATTTTGGCGCATGCAGTAAGGAGGGACAACGGTATTAAAGGGATTACATTTGGAAAATCTGAAATTAGGCAAGTGTTATATGCAGATGATATGACAATATTTTTGAAGGATATTGATTCGGTTAGAAGGTTGCAATATATTTTTGAATCATTTGAACAAATTAGTGGTCTTAAAGTGAATAAAACAAAGACACATATTATGTGGATGGGTGAGGATGAGAACAAACCTGATGGGCCTTTATTTGGAAATTTGGTTAAGGAAATACATATTTTAGGGGTTAGTTATTCATTAGATCGAAGATTAAAAGAGGATTTGAATTATAAAGAAAGTCTAAGTAAAATAAAAAAATTGCTTGTATGGTGGAAACAAAGAGATTTAACTATTATGGGTAAAATACATTTGCTAAAAACTTATGCGCTTTCAAAATTAAATTATATTTCATCTCTCGTTATTGTCCCTCATTGGGTATATAAAGAAGTTGCAAAAATTTCATTTGAATTCATATGGAGGGGGAAAGATAGAATTAAACGGGCAATAATGTATCAGGATTATGACTTTGGAGGATTAATAATGATTAATTTTGAAATGTCCGTTAAAATACAGCGCATAATGTGGATAAAACGTCTTTTATATGGAGAGAAAAGTTTGGGATGGAAATTGTTTTTTGATCATTGCTTACAGTTTGTGGGTGGTAGATTTTTTTTTTTAATGTGATTATGATTTTAAAAAGATTAAACTCGTTTTAGATATTCCACCATACTATATGGAAATGTTGCAAGCATGGCAAGAGACAAGTAATTTAAGATATTTGGAGGGTTATATTAATCCAATTATTTTTAATAATCAGAATATATGTATAAATGGGAAAAGTATATTTGATAGATACTTGTTTGAAAGAGGGATTGTTCAACTGAATCATTTGGTTGAGAAAGGTCATGTTAAGTCTGTTAAATATTTTATGAACCTCGGTATGAAAGGTAATAATTTGCTTATGATTATTGATATTTATGATGCGATACCCAGGTTATGGAAGGATGATTCAGGGTTAATAGAATTCCTCGAGGTTGATTTGATAAGCTTTAATACTTATTTCCATATTTCTAGTAAAAAAATACAGTTTGTGGATGTGGATTCAAGAACAATCTATGATTATTTTATCAAAGCACTGCAACAAACGTATGATTTGCAGGTAAGGGATGGGCAAAATGATTATGATTTTATAGATAAAGAATTAAAAGAAATATTTGTTAGACCAAGAATTACTATACTCATTAGAAAACAACGTGAATTTCAATTTAAATTATTGCATGGAGCCATATACACTAATGAGCATCTTCATAGATTTGGTTTTGTTGGTGATAATTTATATTCGTTTTGTAAGCAGGAAATAGAAACATACAAACATTTATTTTTATCTTGTGGGAGCGTTCAAAGGATATGGCAGGCTTTAATACAACTTTTTGAGTTAGATGAAATTAAAGATTTAGAATGGCGAGATATATTTGTTGGGTTGGTAGGTAGTTCATATAGAATAAAAATGTGTAATACTATCATTTTCATGGTGAAGTATGTTACATTTATGTCAAGATCGGGGGGGGGGGCGAGTACTAACTTTAGAAAAGATGAAAAAAAAGCATTTTTAAGTATAGGGATGAGGAAGAGAAAATAGCAATTAAAATGGGAAAGCTAGGATCACATTTCTGAAAGTGGGAGCAGCTTAAGATTAATTAAGATTTGCTTTCTTCTCCACCGTGAGCCTGTTAAAAGTGTAACTCGATTTTGCGGCCTGGATAACTTATTTAGTATATTTTTCTTGAGTTGAGAATGTTGGCAGACATCCACTGAGTGAGTACTGTGTGTGTGTGTGTGTGGGGGGGGGGGGGGTGGGTGGGTGGGTGGGTGAGTATGTGTGTGGGTGGGTGAGTATGTTTGTGTGATAGAGGGTGAGTATGTTTGTGTGATGGAGGGGGCAGGGAGGGGCAGGATTGTTTCAGTAAAATTACCTCCAGATTTGTTTAAGTTTTTTTGTAATATATAAGTAAATAACATTTACAATTGACATATTATGTTTAGGTACTTATACGTTTACTTTGTTGCTAAGTTATATTATACTGCAAATAAGTTTGTGTTTAATTATGTTTATGTAAAAGCATCAATATTGAACACGTTTATTTTATTCAATTGTATGTCATGGTTTGTATTACACATCTGGAGAAATAAAACAAAATTGTTAAAAAAAAAAAAGTTAGGGAGGGGGATCTGGGATTATCAGTAAAATAACCTCCAGTTTTTTAATAATATTTTTTTGTTACTATAAGTGAATAATATGTATTATATACCTCACTTAAGAAATCCAGCCATCTGAATGTTCGAAATTGCATTCATAAACTTTAACTATTCCTGTAAAATTCCCGGTAAAATTCCAAACCCATGTAATAGTTCTAAAAAATAGTTCTAAAATCCCGGTAACCATTGCAAAAGTAAAAGAAGGGCCCGTTTAATGGAGCTGCCGCGAAGCATCCAGCACGCGAAGCCGTTTTTTAATCCATTTTTAATGTATATATCAGAGAAAACTGCAAAGTATGGTATCAGTGCGCGATGGCCGAGCGCTCTAAGGCGGTGATTTTAGTTACATTAATGTTTGTACGCAAGAGATCGAATCCCATCTTCGACAAAAGTTTTTTATTTTTTATTTTTTATTTTTTAGTCTCCTCTCAAATATACACTCATAAAAAACAACCGTGCAGATAAACTAGATAAAGGCCAAGGTGGTGTCATAAGTTGACTTTTTTTTCGGCATATAAAAGTATTAATGACTGCTTTAATATTCGAGAAATAGTTGTCTCAAAGTAGTCGTTAATACTATATTATTGACTTATAACTTTATGGTTATGTACTTTAAGTTTACTTTCAATTATTGCTCAGTTATATATATATACTGCATATGAGTTTTTGTTTAATTATGTTTAATATGTATAAGCAATCAATATTTAAAACGTTTATTTTTTAAATTAAATTGTATGTTTGTATTTGGAGGAATAAAACAAAATTAGTTTGAAAAAAATCGTGTGTGTTTGTGCGTTCATATAGGCCTATATGTATATATGTATAATATATATACATATATGCCCAAATACACATGTATAAACAAAGATTTGAAAGAAACACAAAGACCAACAGGCCTATCGAGGTGATTCCCAGACTAACAAAAATAACATAAAAATTTTCATTTATCGTGCTTATTATAAAGGGGGAAAATCAAGGAAAGATACAAAATAGCTCTGAATAGATTATTTCACGAATACATAAACAGCAAATAAATGCACTACACTATACTGCTATACAATGCCAGACGAATAAACCCAGACTGACCTAGACATGGTTCGGTGTGTTACAAGAAAAGCCCCAAAAATCTATTCATGTAAATTGGATGGATATTGTGGAGAAAGGTCGAAAAGGTAGGTCGACAAATATTTATCATTTGTGACTCCTATTATCTGGTGTGAAAGCAGCTAATGGGAGAATTGCCATTTGGGCTACAACCAGTTCGTCTATTACCCACTTTGTATATTCCCAAATGGTCTATACACCCAGCCAGTCTACAATCCACATGGTCCAATCATTCGGTCTAATGACCATTTAGGCTCATATTTATTTGGTATAATTTCCATTTGGTATAGTTCTAATAAGTCTATTACCCATATGGTCTAATAATCATTTAGTCATAAATAATAATAATCATCAAAATAATGTTCATTAGATCTTATGGATGGTAGACGAAATGAGCGTTCGAAAAACTGGGATTTAGACTAACTGGAAATTAAACTAAAAAAGTAAGAGGCCAAATGGGTAGTATACTTAGTGGAGATTTCCCAAATGGAAATTATACCAAATGACTATCACCCTAAATGGCCAATTAGACCATGATAAGTAGACGAAATGATTATGAGACCATGTGGATAGTAGACTGGCTGTGTGTAGACCATATGGGAATAGACTAAACGGCTATAAAGTGGTTATTGCACACAGTCAAACTGACCCTTAAAGAGAAGGTTGAGTTCTGGGAAGAGGTGAAAAATAATTTGTGAGCGTTACTCATTCTTATTATGCAAGTGTGGAAGAACATCAGATTAGACATGTTCCCTGAAAAGCATGGCTCTTCAAATGCCTTCATATTCTAATTATGCATGTAAAATCGTAAAAATCGGGGGGCCGGCTTTTTACGCCACGTGTTCTTGTAGTCCCATATACATCTTTCTGTGTACAGTGCTTGTAACTTTACCAAGACTTGGCCAAATTTCTTATCATTTTGATGATTCCAGAACCTTCCAATACACACAAATTCTTATATGCTAGATGATCAACCTTTTCTGATCGATTCCACACCGTTTCTTTCACAATGCAATCGCAAGACCAGAACTCAACTTCATCTTTAACTTGCAATACTCCATGATTTATAATAAAGGCTCCTCTACGGGTCCATCTTCCCCTGTGATATTATTTGTGATTTGTTGATACATATTGTTGTGGAATAAGGCTATATAGAAAGCTGTACCAAATAATAATATGTTTGTTAATTTAGGTTGCGTTCAAATTGATACTACTAGTTAATTTATATAGCAGCTTATTTTTAACCGGGGGCAACGGTACACTATGATTGAATTATAATTAAAAAATAATATGCCCTGGGGGGTGCTTCACAAAGATCCTTAGTTCGAACTTAACTCTAAGTATACTTAAATATTATGGAGAGCCATTTGTAGCCTTAAAATAAAATATATTCAAAAGCGAAAATTGAGGTATTTTAGACTTTTTATAAATTCCACGTCAAGAACATGAAATCTCCTTGATAAAATAAAATATGAATGATTTGAATCATCATTTTATTGCCTTTTAAAATAACTTTTACAAAATAATTTCATAGATGCAAACGGCTTTACATAATTGCTAAGTCCAACTTAGAGATAAGTTCAACTTAGGATCTTTGTGAAACACCCCCCTGGATAAAATTGTGAGGTCACGATAATGTAGGGAAAAATGTTGAAGCACTAAAAAACGTGTTATAACAGAAATCAAATATTCTGGCAATAAATTAATGTAATTGATTGATAGGAACAGAAATTTAGTGTAGAAAAAATTGTAAAATTATATGGTGTAGAAATATTTGTATAGTTGTGTTGTGTAGAAATAGTAGGTCACTGCTTATTTAGAAAAGTTGTCCCGAGAAAACTTGAAATTTTGTTGGCATACAAAAAACATGTACATTAAGGAAGGTATTCAGTCGTTGCGTATTTTCCAAAGAAATAAAATCCAAGGGGCCAACCTGGATAGCAGAGTAGGCCTGTTGTACAGAGTAGGCGCGTACGCAGGATTTTTTCAAGGGGGGGGGGGGGTTAACATTTTTAAATCGGGCCGAAAATTTCGCAACGACTCAGTCAGCCGCTGAATAAGCGGGGGGGGGGGGGGGGGGGGGGGGTAAGAGGACACTTTTTTTTGGGGGGGGGGGGTCTCGGAATTTGAAAATTTGACATTTTGCCCCGTTGGGGAGGGCAAGGTCAAGTTTTTTAGGTCAGCCATTGGTATAATTATTTTTTTTTGTACGCGGCGCCTGGTACAGAGTATCCTTGTGATTCAATATCGAAAATTAGAGGAGTGTACCCGGGGCGTCTTTTTTTAACCTAACCTTGCCATCCTATCGCTGCATTTGATTTGCTCGATAATAATCGTACGTCATGCGCTAGTCATAAATATTCATGATACGCACGCACACAGAATCAGAGGTGATAATTAAATTAAATAAAATAATTAGATTTTCATACAAAAATTATGCAAATGCAAAGCTATGTTTAATTAAAACGAATGACATTGCGAGAAAATCGGGAGGCTTACCGTATTAAAACGAATGACTACGCAGGTCATAATTTGTACATAATCAATGCGACATACTGGTAAAGTACAGAATCTGGCCGATTTCATTTTGATCTCCACCACATCGTATACCAATGCAAATATTCATATATTCAAATATTAATATGCAGCGCAGGATGGCAAGGTTAGGTTTAAAAATGTCGCACCCGGGGGGGGAGGGGGGAGGGGGTTCTCACATATTAAGATATACGGGGGGGGATGCCGCTCTAATGGGTCACTTTTTCACAAAAACATAGGTCCCATTTCTAAGAAAAATATCCCAAAACATGGATCCAGTTTTTTGCTAATTTCAAAATCTAAAATTTGTAAAACTAAATTTGCTTTATTTCGAGAAAAAAATCCCCCTAAATGATCCCTACAAATGGGAACTGGTCTGAGTAATACCCCCCCCCCCCACAGCGTACCTTTATTCTTTATATCCGATCGTGAGTTCAATGTATATTTTTTTCAAAGGGGATCAAAATTTCCAGAACCAGTAGTTTCTTAAGATTTTGCTAAAACACACAGAAAGTTCTGAGAGGATGTAAATTGTATCCATCAAGAATAAACCATATTGACACCATCATTTCACGAAAAAGAAATAGAGAATATCTAACTTTATGGGCAATAAATATAGTACGATTCCGGGGGGACGGGGGGGACACGTCCCCCCTCAATTTTTTTAAGGGAGGGGGATAATCCCCCCTCGAAATTTGAAAAATGCAAAAGAAATGTATAGCAAATACTGACTAAAGACTGCAAAACACTTTTAGGTTCTGGGAGGGGGGGGGGGGGGGCCAAAGAGTGCACGTTTAGAAAAATAAAAATGCAAATTTTTCCTCGCTCGGTAGCTACGCTCCCTCACATAATATCTTTCAAAATGTACGAGTAAATATTGCAAAAAAGTGAAGTGTGAAAAAAGTAAATTGTTTGTTTTTAAACCATAGTTTTGCTAAGTTCTGTGAGTGGGTATAGTCACTTTCGTCACCTTCACCCTTTCGTTCACTATATGCTCCCTTACACTGGCTTACTGATGGGGGGGGGGGGGAGAGATGCCCCCCAATTAAAATTCAAACGTGGTTTATTTCTAATTCGATACCAGTGATTTACAAATGTTGGTAACATGGCATGATTTTTCCATAAGCTTCCGGGGCTCTGCCCCCTGGTTGCTCATCTGACCGTTATTAAATGCCTAAAACCCCTGATCTTTCGGGGGCTCCGCCCTCTGGACCGCACCAAGGGCCCGAAGGTGGGCCAGCTTCTGGATGCTCATCCGATCGTAATTTAATGCCTAAAACCCCCGAGCTTCTGGGGGGCTCGGCCCTGGGCCCAACTCTAATTAGTTACCTGTATGCCAGTGTCAAATAAGGTATCAAAATATGCTCATCTGACCGTAATTAAATGTCTAAAAACCCCTAAGCTTCCAGGGGGCAGAGCCCCCTGGATCCCACGCCAATTTATGCTCCACTTGCTTCGCTCTACTTTATCGTAAATACTTTACCCCCCTCCCCCCCCCCCCCCCCACTTTGAAAAACGTTCCATGGGGCCTGCATGTAATATGTAACAGTGGTGGTGATGCGGATTTTTTTCACCCCCCCCCCCCTCCCCAAAGACGTTTTTGCTCATTACGCCACTGCTCTCCGTCCCTCGCATTTCGCCCCCCCCCCCGGTCGTGAAAAGAAATCGCCGCCCCTGCATGTGTCCATACATACGTGCATCGGACGATCCAGAAGTGTATACGTTGACTGGCTGCGCCTCGCCCGTGCTCGCCCCGTTGGATTTACTCAAGCCGACGATCCCAAGCACCAACGCGGTGATGCTGATGATAGCCAGTAAACCAACCAATAACACCGTTTCTCTGTTCTCTCTCATGGTGAAAGTATTGGTATACACCAAAACCTATGCAAAAAACTTTACACCAAGTTAAAACAGAGTTCGACGTAAACAGACCGACAAGCGTGGAGCTAGTTTCGAAACTGTATAGGCCTACATTTCTAGAGAGGAATAGAATATCGCGGTTTCAGCGAGTATGATGCACTTGAATAATTGATATACTTCAGTGAATCACAATAAAGAGCACTTTTTTTTGAAAATATTGTTTTTTGGAGAGAAATAAATTCCATATAGTTTGTTAATCAGACTCTTGGAAATTATAAACATATTATATTATTATCATTATAGTTATAATTTTTATCATTTTTCGAATCCAATTTAATATCATTATAATTGCTTCCATTGTTATTAACATTTCTCATCATTATCATCATTTTTTATTATCATCATATTATTGCTGCTGTTGTTGTTGTAATCATTGTAATTATCATCATTTGTCATTGTAATTATTATCGTTGTTATTAATTTTATTGTTAATTAGATTATTTGAGGGAATTGAAATTGCCCAAAGTCTTTGCAAAAGTGGTGTTTGAGGCCTAGGCTATATAATTTTGTTATGACTTGTTGTCGGCTTACTTCGTTCCAGCGGATCTTCACGTGTTCGGGTCGCACGAACTTTCGTGCAGGAGGCGTGATGGGCTTAGTGGTAGAGCAGTAGTCTCGTAACCGGGAGGTCCCGGGTTCGCTACCAACTCGACACATTAGTGCCCTTCTGTAAGGCATTAATCCTTATTACCAAGTCCCTCTGAGAATATGAAGCCGTCGGTCCTTGGTTGCTCACTTACAAGCGCACTCATATTATCTTTGCAGTCAGGTTGGACAAACAAACCAAGCAACCAAAGTGAATAATCAAGCCCTAATTCCAAAAGGTTCTAGCATGTAACGGTTATGAAAAACACCCCTCTTACCGCCAAAGTGTCCGGGCAAGTTTACCCAACACTTAAAAAAAAAAAAAACCTAAAGCAAATTTACGAAAAAAAGCACCTCCACCAGACGCTTTTTAATACGATAGGCCTATACTTAAACACAAGATTTGATAATAGATACCGAAAGGCCAGCGATCGACAGTTCGTCGTTGTCTGATTGTATGGGATGGTTTTCACAAATAAACGGTTTGTGTTGTTGTTTTTTAGTATTATTTGCGGTGTATCATACATGTATGAATATTTATGCCTAAACATATATAAACATAAATAAACATATATAAAGATAGTATCTTTATCTCAAGGACCATCTTTGAAGAAAAGTGATTATTTGCATTTAAATTTACCCGACCTTTCGTGAACTAAGTACAAGTTTTCACAAAATACCGTGTTACCCGACCTGACGCGCACTCCGGTGGTGAACGACGTGGTCCCTCGTTATCTCTTTGTAAAATCATTCGAACTTACATGTATGTATATTCCCATTTGCATATATGAAAACTACACTACTGAAACAAAATAAATCGAATAAATTCAATCACTGATTTCAATGTCTTTTAATTGACGTAAGCATCACTCCGAGGTACAAAAAGGTTAAATACATGTTTTATTTTTTTTTAAATCACATTACCACAAGACTGATTTTAACATTGTCAATTTCGACAGCGTAAGATTTATTTATTCTAAAGATGAATAAGTAATGAACCAGGGACCTTTCCCCCCCGTAATTGCATCCTTATTATATTTCTCATATAAAAATTGATTCTCAACTGTTCCCAAAAGATCTTAATTCATTTTATTTGTCATTTCATTTCATTTTATTTCAATTATTTTCCTTTCATTTATTTTCTTTTTTTCCCATATCGTTCATTCCATTTCATTAAATTTTCTTCCTGTCCATTCCATTTCCAATCATTTCATTTCAATAAACCTTCATTTCATTTCACCAACCATTATAAAAACAACAACGTATAAACACTGCTACATGTGAAATATACATGTGATAATACAAACAATTAAAGAAAAACATAATAATTGTTTTCGTTTCAATAAGCCTATGTTCACTTCGGAAACTACCTGTCTGCTGGCCTCTACGACGACTTTTTTTTAAATACAATTCATTCGTTCATAAGTGGTACTGCTGCTTCATCATCCCGCTTCCGGGCATCTGGGACGAACGAATCGCTGACGTCATCTTCTTGACGACCACCACCACGACGACGAGGAGAACTATCATGATCGCTGCCATGGCAACGATAGCCAGCATCCAGGGGTTGAAAGAGGAGATCGTGGGTTTACCGTCTGCAAGGTGGAAACAGATAATCATGGGAAATGATGAGAATGACGGTTCAGAAAGGTTTTTGTTTTAACGATAAATATAGATACATTCAGATAAGTGAAGAAACGATTGAAGCTACAATGAACCCGCCCCCCCCCCCCCCCCACTCAGTGTGTTATTAGGGTACGCATATGCGTGTTCCAAGCGACCCCCCCCCCCCTTTCAGCAAAAGTCCGATGTGTAAAGTCAATACGGGTCGACCTTTTTCTTTTGTTATACGAGCCTTTTTCAGCACCCCCAACCCCCCCTTTCAGCAAAAGTCCGGTGTGTAAAGTCAATACGGGTCGACCTTTTCTTTTGTTACGAGCCGGAGAGTTTTGGAACACGCATGCGGTCATTTCGAAACCTGAGTGGGGGGGCCGGGCGGGACAATGAAAATACCCCAGAAAATCTATTTCGGACAGAACTAGGCCCATTGGACTTCAAATTTCTGTACCTTATAACATATAGAGCTCAGTGAACACGTGCAGGAAATTCGTTACATGCAGTTACCATTCACTTAAACGTAAAAATATTTCCGGCAATTTACCGCGCCAACAATAATGTGAGTGAGCCGTAAATATGTACAAAATAACTTTTGATTTGTGAAATTAATTTAATAACATAAAAACATACCGTATGAAATCCATTCCTTCTGCTCGTAATTCTCTTGGCTACGTCTAAATCTGATTGGTCCACGGCTGATCCTCGTACGCGCAAGCGTAGACTTTGAGCCTGTGACATCACGACGTTGACGCGCATTCAGCCCGCTTGGGCATGTGACGTCGCATTCTGTGAGGTTCCCGTTGTTGCGTCACAGACGAGCAGGTCGCAGTGGATGTAGACCTAGAAATACACAGAAAACACAAATATTTTGATCTTGTCTACTGAAAATGAACTTTGTAGAACATGCTTACCATTTCGGTAAAGTTTTTTGCTTAATCCCTTCCACTTCTCTCTTAATTTTCTTTTCCATATTACGAAAAGAATATTAATTCATGTATTTTAATGAATGATATTAAATCAATTCAATCTAGCTGAATTTAATTTAAAGAAAAATGCCAAATGCACACAATTATTGTAACAGAAAATGGTGGGAGAGTTTACAATTGAAGAAAATAATTGTTTGCGAAATCACGTAAAACGGAACGTCACGACGAAGCATATAAGAGAGAACTACATGCGGTATTATCTGCCGTAGATGTGTGACCATGATTTGTACATCCCTTGAGAGACCAATGCCAGTAAATGATGAGAGCAAATAGTGGCATGAATGGCCTGCCATAGTTAAGTACAACTTAAAGTTGATCTTAGTCTTTGTGAAAACACCCCCTGTTGTCTAAGAAAAAATGGGGGAAATGGAGAGGGGTAAGTTGTGTTAATTTTGTGCTTACCCTGTTGCCTAAGCCAACAAAACGGAAGGTTGTCATGGTGACTCCGACAAAGTCGAGCTGGTCTGGACTGATCACAGTGCTCTCATCAACTGAACAACTATTATGTAAAGGGAGAAATAGCGAGAGAGAGAACGAGAGAGTCGGTAAGAGAAAGGGGAGGGAGAGAAAGGGAGAGAGACAGTAAGAGAGATAACAAGAGCGATAGATAGAGAGAGAGAGAGAGAGAGAGAGAGAGGGGGGAGATGAAGCAAGATGGAGATAGAGAAAGTGAGAGAAAGAGGGGAGGGAGAGAGAGAGAGAGAGAGACAGAGTGAGGGAGAGAGAGAACAAGATCGGTAGATAGATAGAGAGAGGGAGAGGGGGGGGGGGGGGAAAGAGATCAAGACAGTGACACATAGATATAGAGGGAGATATGGACAAGGAGGAGACAAACGCAGAGAAAGGGGAGGAGAGTCGGTGTGAAAAGGGGAGGGAGAGAGAGGCAGAGAGGGAGAGAGAGAGAGAGAGAGAGAAAAGTGGAGGAGAGAAAGAAACAAATTAAAAATGAGAAATGAGATAAGAAAGGAAGAATGGGAGAGGGAGAGAGAGAGACGAAACAATAGGTTCAGACATCATGACACATAATGATTTTCAGCCAAAGTGTCTTGAGAAAGCAAAAGATGTGATCGCAATTATAAGCATTTACCATTATCGGCATCCTTATCGTACAAAACTGATTTGTGTATCCTACCCAACTTTACCTAAAGCCGTTATAAATGTATTTTGATATTACTGTAATTGTCTATGAATATGATTATCTCTTTTGTAAATTGATCGTAAACTGTTACCAGTGAAAAACAAATTTCGAAATGTATAGTAAATTTACCAATTTGAATTTATTTTAAATTTCAAATTTGAAAATACCTAGGCAGGTGTAAAAATAAATAAATCATTATTTCAACTTCATTTTTACTTCCATAATAACGCATTCAGAGCGATGAGACGGTCACCAGGCCGATAAGAACCCCTACTCATTTGTCAGACTGACCACAACCTTTGTTTGTTACCGGTCACTTTGAGTGGGTCTGGACCCTGTTTCATAAAACTTGTTATCGATAACAGGCTACAATAACTGTTATAAGCTACTGAAATCGTGGCATTTGATTGGCTGAGAGCAAATTCGTCATAGAAAATTTAGCATCCGATATTGGTAACGAGTTTTATGAAACGGGGCCCTGGGGGCGTTTCACAAAGCCTTTTTTCAATGACAAACCAGTGACAAATCTGCTGATAACCAATCAGAAGCAAGGATTTCAGTAGCTTATAACAAAAACTGTCATTTTTCACTGATGTCAAGTTTTGTGGAAACGCCCCCTCTGGTGTTTTCTATAATATACAATGATTATCTTGACATCATGCTCACCCTTCCTCGATAAAGACATACTGATCATCATTGTATGAGTTGGAGGGCGTGGCCACGCATCGCGCGTGATTGACAGGTCGAGGGTTCCGTCCTGAGATGGAACTGAAGCCCCGAAGTAGAGGTCGTCGTTGAGATCCATGTCGACGGGGTAATCGTCCTCCAGGTATTTCTCTTCGAAGTCCTCATCTCTGAAACGATGTTTAGGCAATTCAATTTATTTCAATTAAGGTTTATGAAAACATTTCATTTCATTTCATTTCTTTACTGTGTCAATGTAGGATGATTGTTTATATTTACAATGAACAATCTTGCTTCAACATATGAACATAGGAACCAGGCGCGTACGCAGGGGGGGGGGGGGGGGGGGGTTAGGGTTAAACTCCCCTTGAGTTTTTTTGGTATGTTTTCTGTATGTTTTTGTGACCCCCCCCCCCCCCCTTTTGCCTTTTTTTTTTAATTATTTTTTTATTTAAAAAAAATAAATAAAAAAAATTATGCCAATGGAATACCTAAAAAAGGTAAAACCTTACCCCCTCTCCCCCCCCCCCCCAACGGAACAAAATGTCAAATTTTCAAATTTCGAGACCAAAAAAAAAGAAAAGAAAAAAGTGTCCTCTTTTTTTACGAAAGCATGCACGCATTTCCATGAATCATTGAATTGAAGGCAATTGACAATTAGAGAAAGTTTAAGCGAAAAGCCCAAGTCAAATATCATGCTTGGTTTTGGCGTTGGTTGCCACCACTTCATAATGAAGGCATCCCTTGTCTCTTCGAAAGATTCTATCATAATATACAATATTTCAGAGGTGTTATTTTGTTTAAATTTCTAGCGGTCATCCCTAATCCTAGATCGGAGGGGTATGTTGCCAAAATTCAGGATTTGAAAAATTGCGCCATTTCACCTCTAGATAGTACAAGAAAGAAAGAATAACAGTATATTTCTAGGTGTTATTTTTTAAATTTGTAGCGGTCACGCCTAAATCGGAGGGGGATGTTGTAAAAATTCAGGATTCGAAAAATTGCGCCATTCTACCTGTAAATATCCAAAGCGAAATCATATTGGTCGCTTTTTTGCGCCTTTTTACCTGTAGATATCCAAAGCGAAATCATATTGGCCGCTTTTTTACGCCATTTTACCTCTAGATATCCAAAGCGAAATCATATTGGCCGCTTTTTTGCACCATTTTACCTGTAGATATCCAAAGCGAAATCATATTGGCCGCTTTTTTGCGCCATTTTACCTGTAGATATCCAAAGCGAAATCATATTGGCCGCTGGATTCCTCCGTCACGTTGAGGCGGTAGTTCTTGAGCTCGTATGAGCGTAGTCCCACCCGTCCAGTTCGGTTGTAAGTACAGGTGAATGGGATGTACACATCAGAAACACGGGTTACGACACCATACTCTCGCTCGGTCACTGTGTTGCTGTAAAACTCGAAAGTGGCATCTTCCTGTAAGTTTTAATGAGAGTGAGAGAGAGAGAGAGAGAGAGAGAGAGAAATATATATATAGAGAGAGAGAAATAGAGAGAGAAAGAGAGAGGAGAGAGAAAGAGAGAGAAAGAGAGAGAAAAGAGAAAGAGAGAGAGAGAGAGAAAAAAAAGAGAAAGAGAGAGAAAGAGAGAGAGAGAGAGAGAGAGAGAAAGAAAAGAGAGAAGAGAGAGAAGAGAGAGAGAGAGAGAGAGAAAAAAAAGAGAGATCTGTAATAATTTTCAACATTGGGATCTTTCAGTAAGTTTAAAAAATATGAGAAAGAATAAGATTAAGAGTATAGACGTATATTTAAATTCTATCTAGATTGATAAAGAATGAATTTATTATCTTTCACATGAATGTCTACAGTATTGCTGTAATACTCGAAACTGGAATCTTTCTGTAAGTTTTAAAGAGTCAGAGAGAGAGAGAAAGAGAGAGAGACTGTAATTATTCTCAAAACTGGAACCTTTCCCTGTATTCTAGATTATTAGATATAGAAGGAAGAAAGAATAAAAGTATATTTATAATAGTGATGATAATCCGTTCTTGTATACGCATAACACATTATGTTATAAAGTCTCTATGCGTTTCCAAAGAGCTTTGGACATTTTTATGTTAATTATGTCTAGATTATTAATGAACTAATGAATCTGTCATCTTTCACATGAATGTGAATGTTTACATATTGCATGCAATGCAACACTGTGCTCTGAACGAATTACATTATAACTACCAATGCTGAATAAAAGATTTCGGTAGTTTTTTAACCCACCCCCCCCCTCCCCCCCCCCAAAAAAAAATACAAACTAGAAATGCATGTTTGTACAGATTGTTTCTATATATATAGATAGCTTAGACAGATAACGATATGTGATTGGTCCAGAGCTCGTCACGTGATATCAATTGCGAGGGTCGTAATTGTTATATTTTCCTGGCTGGTCACTTTCCAGTGTTATATTAGCCACCTGGTGAAATGAATATATTTTTAATCAATGCATGTCGCCCTCTTGAGGGCTGTATGTCACCAATTACACAAATTACACCAATACCGAGGGTCAATGTTTTTCCCCATAGTCTTAATTTGTTTCCAAATTTGTTCCCCCCCCCATTTTTTTCTTTCTAAGATTTGTTTTTAAAATGTTTTTTTCCTCCCAATAGGCCTAATGCTTTTTTTCTAAGAATTTTATTTTTCCAATTGTTTTTTCCGTTGAAATTATTTTTTCCCTAATTATCTCGTAGTATTTTTTGTTTCTCACAATTTTTTTGCAAATTTTGTTGTCTCCGAAAAAAAAGGGAATTTTTCAAAAATAAAAAATGAAAAAATAGACCCCCCCCCCCCTTAAATTTTTTAACCAAGGCTATCTGATATATGCGCGCTTCTGGAAAATATGGTCATGAGGGAAAATATAACTCCCTTCAGCGGTCCAAAGAATGCTATATTACACCCCCTGCCAATCAATATCTGTATAATATAAATGGATTTTGTCATCCTCCGCACCATGTAACCCAATAGAAAAGAACTGATTGTCCTTCAGTTTGATAACGGTGTTTAATATATTCAATTTCAGAACACTGTGAACAAACAGACATCACACACCTAAATCTACAAAAGTTTATTAAAGGTAATAACAAGTTTTGGTATGGGGTCATGAAATTGGTTCGAATAAAAATATTGGAAGCATATGCTATCCTATAAAAGTCAATGTTCGTTTTCGCGGTTGAAATCGAGTCTAAAGTTATGAAATTATAAATAATAAACCCTTTATGCTGTATAGCTCCCTCTCAAGGTCAAGATATTAATTAAGCCATAAAACAACGTTTCTTGACTTAAATGGACCAATTGGCTTTTTCCGTTTGGGAAATATATATCACAACTACATATTCTGAGATTTTCATGGTCGCAGCTATTGTTGTATGGCCGTAAGCGCTATTTGAACATTTTCAAAATTTACCGGGAGCACCGGTAAATTTTTATAGTCAATTTTACTCAAAAGCAGAAGTGTTTGAGGGGCTAAATTTTCTAGTGCTTATAATACATCCACAGGGGCATCCAATACATCAAAATTGTACAGAATCACTATCCAGCCAATTTTCAAAATTTCCCAAAACTTTGTATTACCTTTAACTGCATTGTCACAGTGTGATAATTATCTACAGTTTGTCACAGTGTGTCACGAGCTAGACCGCGACCACAGTGAGATTACAGTACTAAATTAAGTGTTAAAACAGTGTAAACACAGGATGAAAAGAGTATTCAGTTTTTAAAACAAATGTGAACACAGTGTGAATAGAGTGTTCAGATTAAAAAACAATGTGAGCACGGTATGGACAAAGGATTCGCTGTGAACAAAGTCAATGTGAACACCACGTAAAGTGTGTTTACAGTGTAAAACAGTGGGAACACAGTATGAAGAAACTGTCCACAGCATAAAAACAGTGTAAATGCAACTATAAACAGAGTGTTCACAGTGTACACAATTCTTCCGGTATTGAAGACAAAGTAGATAAGTACAGCTGTATACATAAAGGTGGGTAATGTGAGCACACTATGAAATTCTTTCTTTCTTTTTTCCAACTTACACTCCTATCATTGTTACATGACGTCAGATTGGTGGAGATAACAATGGCCATTCCATCTGTGGAGATAACCCCCTGGCAATTTTCATCGTTCATGAGCTGGAGGTCGGTCCCGACGGTCGCACCGCCGAGACGCTCCAGAGGAACTCGCACTGACATGCTGGTGGGCGAGCATTCGAGGATGATAGCAGCAACTACAGGGGGTGTGAACAAATAATAAGTAATTGCCAGTGGTATTACTTTGAAGGGCGTCAACATACTTTAAAGTCAAGACGTCACATGCAATACGTATATTCCAATTTCAATGATATATGAGAAAGGGCATAATTTTCTTTCAAAACATTACAACAACAAGAGCAATGCTTTTAACTTACTACAAATAAAGCTTTAGATTTGGGGTAGGGGTAATTGTACGTGTGCCCCACCTCCTCAAATCTCACACACATCTAGATCAGTCCCCTCTAAACTCGTACTGATTGCAGGGCTTCCAGGGAGAACAGAGGGACGTTTAAAAAAACTTGTCATCAGTGACAAATGACAGTTTTTGTTATAAGCTCCTGAAATCCTTGCTTCTGATTGGTTATCAACAGATTTGTCACTCAATTTTGTCATTTGTCATTGAAAAAAGGCTTTGTGAAACGGGTCCTTGGCTGTTTTGGGGTAGTTCAAAGGCACATTATTTTGTGGAAATTCGGGTGGCCAGGGTATTTATGAATAGTATACGAAATTATTTGAAACATGCCATTAAAGGTCACTGGAAGGTCAGTGTCCAAGGCTACCCTGGGCATGCTGGGTAAACAAACATAATAATATATATATATATATATATTTTTTTTTTTTTTAATACTATAATAAGTATTGTTGTTGTAATATTATTATTATTTTTATTAGTAGTAGTATAGTAGTATCATTAGGTGGTCTGTCGTTCGACAGATCACCTATTGTTTTCGTCAGAATTTTCTTTATTATTATTTATTCTTTATTAGGTGGTCTGTTGTCAACAGACCACCTATTGATTTCGTCAGAATTTTCTTTATTATTATTATTATTTATTCTTTATTTTTATTTATTTCTTCCCGTTTTTTGTTTATCGGTTAACTCAAGATCGGTTGTGTTAATTTCTTTCAATTTCAAGACAGTAATAGGTCATTGTCATGAGACGTGACAGGAACATTTTCAAGGTCATCAGGTTATCGTGACGTCATCCAGGCGCCATTTCGTGAAATCACGTTATCCATCATATCTTTATGATGCATAAGCAAAGGTCATTCATATTCATTATCACATATACTTAAGGTCAAGGGTCAACAGGTCATGTCATCAAAGGTCACATAAAGGTCATGACGCGCGCGTACGCGTGCGTCAAAATTTTAGAATGGTCAAAATCACCTAACTATTAAAGGAGAGTACGAATCAGGTCATTTTAAGCATTTCAAAATTTTCCGTCCGTAAGTGTCCCCGCGCGCGTTGCGCGCGCTCAAAGCGCGTGGAAAAGGTCAAATTCAAATTTTTTACATGATTTAGATTCCTCTTACCGTTAATGACAATTTACATTAATTTTAGTCACCCTTGACCTTTCATAAGGCCGTGAGCGCGCGTCAAAGATCAAAATCCGCGCGTGCTGCTATGGGCAATATAATGCAAATTTGATCAAAAAACATGCCAATTTAAAAATCAAAATAGCTCTTCAGATAGTCCATTCACCCCAACTTTTATATCATGGTTAGAAAAAGCATGAGTTGGAGATATGATTTCATGTCTCATTTGACCCTCAATTAACTCATGACGTCATCATAATGGCCTCCGAACTCATAATTTTAATTTGCATATTATGACGTCAGCATATTTTTGGAAAATTGATTGTATCTCTGTAAATATTGATCAATTTTCTTTCAAATTTTGATATGTTCTACCTGAGAATATTCTCTACAAATACAGTCACCACAAAATTTCATTTTGACAAAGGTATCATGGCGTTTTTGCGATTAAAGGAGGCATGTCAAATTTTCACATTTTGCGTGTATTCTCTATGGGACATGACTTTTTCTCAATCTGGTTTCTACATTCTCGTCTTTCGCGAGCAATATCTCCGTCGTTTTATCTTTGTTTACGCTGAGCTTTGAGTATGTTGTAGCTGAGAAAATAAGCTATCATAAGTGTGCCCTTTATTTTTCGATCAGATGCCGGGATCATGCTCATATTTCACTTACAAAGTGGGATTTGATAATTCCATTTTCCGTTTACGTGTAATCTCTATGGGAAATGTTTTGGTATATCGGTAACGCACTTGACTTCCGACCTCGAGGTCCCTGGTTCGAGTCCGGGCGTCTCCAACAATTTTTTTTCTTCACTTTTTTTTCTTTTTGACCTTTCACTGTACCATCTCCTTTGAATATTAAAACACGTAGAATCGCAAATAATGTAATAAACAACCATATTTACTTTATTATTACCCTATTATCACTAGATCCATTACTTTTGACGTGTAATCCTTTTGGGAGATGACTTTTTCTCAAATCTGGATTCTACATTCTTGTCTTTTGCGAGCAATATCGCCGTTATTTCGGCTTGGTTTTTGTCGATTTTTGAGTATGTTGTAGCTGAGACTATACGCTATCTAAATCTTCTCTAATTTTGTTCAGTCTGATGTCATCGTGGTCTGTTGATGATAATCATCAACATCATCATCATCATCGTCATCACCATTACTATCAAGATCATCATCATCATGATCATCATGATGATCATCATTGTTTACATGTCTATATAACTTCTCCCTTTCTCAATATAGTAAATATTATAATCTCTCATAAGACTTGAAGACAGACCACCTAATTCGTCCCCATGACGAATTAAATTTCTAGTTTTTATTTATTTCTTCCCGTTTTTTGTTTATCGGTTAACTCAAGATCAGTTGTGTTAATTTCTTTCAATTTTAACACAGTAATAGGTCATTGTCATGAGACGTGACAGGAACATTTTCAAGGTCATCAGGTTATCGTGACGTCATCCAGGCGCCATTTTGTGTAATCACATTATCCATCATATCTTCATGATGCGTACTCAAAGTTCATTCATATTCATATCACATATATTTCAGGTCAAGGGTCAACAGGTCATGTCATCAAAGGTCACATAAAGGTCATGACGCGCGCGTATGTGCGCGTCAAAATTTAAAATTGCTCAAAATCACTTAACTACTAAAGGAGAGTACGAATCAGGTCATTTTAAGCATTTCAAAATTTTCCGTCCGTACTTGTCCCCGCGCGCGGTGCGCGCGCTCACAACGCGCGGAAAAGGTCAAATTCAATTTGTTTACATGATTTGGATTCCTCTTACCGTAAATGACAATTTACATTAATTTCAGTCACTCTTGACCTTTCATAAGGCCGTGAGCGCGCGTCAAAGTTCAAATTCCGCGCGTGCTGCTATGGGCAATATAATGTAAATTTGATCAAAAACATGCTACTTTATAAATCGAAATAGCTCTTCAGATAGTCCGTCGACCCCCAATTTTTATATCATAGTTGGAAAGAACATGAGTTGGAGATATGATTTCATACCCCCCTGACTCGTACAAAGTGAAACAAAATCTTCATATTTGCATCTAAACTAAAGAAAATGTATTTTGTTGATGACGTCAGATTTCGATATGTTGTAGCTGAGATAATTCTCTATCAGAAATATGACATTTATTGTTCATTTAGATGACGTCATCATACTGAAATATTCGATTAAATGCGACAATGCATAATTTGTCATATTTGCGTGTTATGTCTATGGGAGGTCACTTTTTTCAAAACATGAATCTGCATGACAATGTGTTTTGACCAGTATCTCGGTTGTTATTCAACAGTTTTCTCCCAAATTTTAGTATGTTGTAGCTGAGACTATTTGCTATCTAAATATTTTCCTCATTTTTTCAATCAGATGTCAGGATCATGCTCATACTCATCATCGTCATCATCATCAATATCATCATCATCATCATCATCATCAATGTCACCATCATCATCATCATCATGGTCTGAAGATGATTATCATTGTTTACATGTCATATATAATTTCTCCCATTCTCAAATCTATCATGAGACTTAGACAGACCACCTTATTCGTCTTCGTGACGAATTAAATTTCTAGTTATTATTATTAATATCATAATTTTTGTTCATTATAACTTTTATCATTATCATCATTACATTTACTGTTCTTATCATTCTCCTTCTTCTAATAATAATCATTATAATCATAGTTATTATCAAATATGCCATATCATTATAATCGTTTATATATTATTATCAATCTTGTCAGTGTTGATATTATAACTATTGCGATTATTATTGCTATTATTATCATTATGCCTATTAGACTCATTATTATTATAATTATTATCATTATTTTTGTTGCTGTTGTTGTTGGCGACTTGTTGATCATGTTTATTCAATATAATTTGAAGTGTTATTTTAAAATGCACTAAACTATAATGATGTTGATTTTTTTCATATGAGTTGTATGTACATTTGTTGAATGTTTATTTAACATTTATTTGCTACACCTGTGAATGATGGAAATTATCTATATAAAAAAAAAAAAAAAAAAAAAGTTATCATTATTACTGAAAATCCTCCAAACCTGTTTTGACTGTCACGGGTCCAATAGGGGACAGCTCATAATCCTGACTGAGGAGAGCTGCCACGTTCACGTTGTACATGCGGTCTGGCAATAAATTATCGATGGAGGCGCTGTTTGCATTACCTCCGTATACGAGTTCTAAAGGAATGGATAAATAAAATTAATTGAGTAACTGATTGAATTAGTTAGAAATTAACCAACGAACAACCAACTCCCTGTAACAAAGAACAAACAAGAAATAGGTCTAATCGAACGCCGTTAATGTCCGTATTCATTAATTAAGTAAATTACGATTTGTTATGGTAATGTGTGAAGGTTAACGTACTAATCCCTTAGCGTTGGCGTCAAAGTGCCCTAGCCCTGCCTCCGACAAAATCCAATCTGTCATACGTACCTTAAGAATATACAAAAGACGAATGTGCCCAACCATTAATTTGGGGTTCCACATATGGGGCCTGCAAAATATTGCTTAATTATTAAACATTCGCCACTCTTGAATTTTGTCAATTTCCAGAACACTTTAAAATTTAAAATTAAAGAGAAGGTAAAGTTCCGGGGAGAGGTGAACAATAATTTGTGAGCGTTATGATTGTTGTTAATATGCAAGTGTGAAAGATCATCAGATATACAATTTTCCCTGAAAAGCATGGCTCTTCAAATACCTTCATATTCTAAATATGACAAGAAACAGCTTATACATGAGGCCCCATTTTTATGCCACATGATTGAGTCCCATATACATCTTTTTGTGTACAGTGCGTGTTACTTTGCAAGACAGGGCCAGATTTCTTATCATATTAATGACTCCAAAACTTTGCAGTACACACCAATACTTATATGATACATGATCAACTTGTTCTGATCGCCTCCACACCGTTTCTTTCACAATGCAATCGCATGGCCAGACTCAACTTTAATTCGAATTTTGGATAACTTAACAGTCTAATATTCATCTGAACAGATCTGTTATGCAACATGTTTTAAATGCCTACTTGATGTTACGAAATAGAAAACAATATCGACACCTCATGTGAAAGATTTTTTATTTTACTTCGATATTACATCTTCACGTATTTCCCTGTTTCATCAAACTTGTTATCAATAACAATTGCTTACATTTCTATGACAAACTTGCTCTCAGCCAATGAAATGCCACGATTTCAGTAGCTTATCACAGTTATTGAAACTTGCTATGGATAACAAGTTTCATGAAACAGGGTCAATGTTCCCTTTTCTGTTGTTTTCTCTATTTTCCTGGTCTAAAACTAGTCCAGGGGTGTTTCACAAAGACTAAGATCGACTTTAAGTTGGACTTAACTATGACAGGCCTTTCATGCCACTGGTCGCTGTCACCAACGGTCTCTCAATTATGATATTTAGATAATATATTTTCTTTCAATAATGAACTATCATAAAAGGTAAATTCTGTAGATTTGTGACCACGATTCGCACGCCCCTTGAGAGACCAATGCCAGGAATGGTTAGAGGAACTAGTGGCCATGAACGTCCTGCCATAGTAAAGTCCAACTTAAAGTCGATCTTAGTCTTTGTGAAACACTCCTGAGGTATACAATGCCCGGTAATATAACTTGTGAAATCACTGATTAACGAGATTTTATTTTTATTTATGGACCAGTGATGGGAAGATGGACTTTGGTTTTTAGGTAGAATCAACATTATCAACTGTAAACAGATAAGCAATTAACAAATAATTGATTAGCGGCTCGATTGACTTTGTCCTAAATCAGGGCAGGCGATAACAAAACAGGATCCTGCTAAAGTTACTAGACCTTTTATTCAAAGAAAGGCAGAACCAAATTGACAATTGACTTTGGTTTAACCTCAATGTAATTTTTTTACAAAGTCAATGCTTTTTTTTTTCATCAGCGGGGCTAAACTGTCCGAAGGTTCATATAAATAATGACAATCTTAGTAGACACCGCCATTTTTCTACTCCCGAAAACCCCCATCTTTCTCTTTCTCTTTCTCACATTTCTTTTCCCTTTTTTCATTCCCTCTGTCGTCACCTTTCTCCCTCGTGTTATCGATTTGTACTGTTTCTTTATTCTGTTTGCGTATCTTTGTTTGTTTTTTATAATTAGAATTTCATTTCAAATTTAAATATTTGAAACAAAAATCAAAATGCATTTAAATCACACTTGGTACTAATAGGGTAATAAAATCAAATTTTCTGTTTTGGAAAAAAAAAAGAAGAGTACTTTCATCAATTTTGTTTTGTTTTCGACTATGTGATAACAAATATCTCAAAGAGAACACAAATTTATAAGTTGGGCCAGGCAAATGATTACTTTTCGGTAGATTTTCCAATATATAAAACTCGAAACTCTAATTTTTCGTTTTTCGACCGTGGTCACCTGATACTTACCGGAACTGACGTCAGCGTTGTCTTCATCAGCCAGCCAATACTGAACTCTGTAACCGACTACGTCACAGCTTGTCTCTGATTGTGTCCACGTGACCAGCATGCTTGTTTGTGTAGCGACGACGGCAAGATCACTTGGGTTAGCGTCCTGGAGTTGGAAATCTTTAAAAATAAACGGTCATGATATTATCAGGAGGGTGTTTCACAAAGATCCTAAGTTGAACTTAACTCTAAGTTGGACTTAACAATTATGGAAAGCCGTTAGCATCTATGAAAATATTTTGTAAAAGTTATTTTAAAGGCATAACATGTTGATTGAAAACATTCATATTTTGCGGAATTTATATTGGAAAGAAGAAGATAAAAGAAGAAAAAAAGAAGGAGAAAAAGAAGGAAAAGGGATGAAGAGAGATGAGGAGAGGAGAGGGGGAGGGGGTTGGAAGAGGAGGAGGGGGGAATGAGGAAGTCGAAGACCCCAAGCTGAGCTCGCATTGGAATCTCTTATGTCAAATATATGCATATTAATGAGCAGTAATAAGTACGTAAAAAGATCAAATATCATTTGTCTCTTCCGGCTCGAATTATACATATTACAAGCGAAACAACTTTGAAATCAGCATGAATTGAACATAAAAACACCATACCTTTTGGAGATATTTCGCATATGTAACTTAGTGCTTTGTCACAAACGAGAGATACAAGATCACCGGTGGGTTGGAGAGCCGCGCAGTCCAGACGACCGTTGCCAGGGGAACCGGCCTCCCAGAGATCGTTCTGCCAATCGGTCGATTCTGTGCAATCGACCCAGCGCCATTCGCCCTCTACGGACTGATCCGAATAGCCTGTATTAAAAAGACGATTTGAAACAAAGAGGTGCGATTTCTGCTTAACTATTACCCAGTTGTCCAAAGTGTAATGCTTTATACATTGACAAGACAGTATAATAAACTACGAGACTACTGAGTAATGCTACTCATTGCGGATATAGTATTTTTGATCCCTTGTTGACTAAAATTGCGAGACAAACGAATGTCACTTGCGATATTATTTTCGATAATGGTAATATTTCTCTTACACATTATTTGGGTTTGTTCGCTTTGCATAATTTTCACTGCACTCACGCGGTGACCAGATGGATGGGCAAATAATGTGAATGAACCTGTTAGTAACAAATACAGTTTTGAGACAATAACGTGTAAGTTACACTATTCTTAACTTTGGCAATTTTGCACATCTTACCCCCCCCCCCCCCTAAAAAAAATTAAAAAAAAATAAATAAAAAAATCTTACAACTTGAGGACGGCCGGTTTCAAATTTACGGCAAACATGAAAATTTATGAAATCATATCACCGTAAGCGGCCTGCAGCATTACTATGCACCATTCATTTTACATGTGCATAATGTACAGTAATCATTATTCTCGTGCCCCGCGTCAAATCAGTCGTTGACGCCGGGCTGACGCAGCCTTGTGCCATACAATTGGCGCAATCATGCGTCAGTCCAATGACGCATCGTGCACAACGGGCATTACAAGCCATCTTAACTTACCGACCCACCACGTCATGTTGGGGTTGATCTCCGCCGACCTCATTGTTAGGAAATCAAGTTCAGCCTGGTCATTGACGATGACGAGATCGGAGTCGGCCACGTTGTCGCATGTTTCGTCTTCGGGTCGACCACCAGGAGCCGAGGTCGAGGTCTCTGAAGCGGTAGCAATGGCCGTTGGGACCAAGCTCGTAGTTGTCGGACAAGTGG